TAGCTACCTATCTATATACCTATATACCTATCTACCTATCTGCCGATCTATCTACCTATCTACCTATCTATCTACCTATCTATCTACCTATCTATCTACCTATCTACCTACCTATCTACCTACCTATCTATCTATCTATCTATCTCCGAGGAATTAGTACAACCTACAATGAGCATTGTTTACAACACTGTCTATATGGGCGTGTCTGAAATGGTGTATTCCCTCCACTCGGCCATTTCAGTGGTAAATGCCGATTAAATCAATGAATTAGTGTTCATGTGCCAAACCCACACACACATACAACAACAACAATAATAATAGTATGTAATAGTGTAGACAATGATATACATACAAACAAAGACATGTATATATATATATGTTACTGTATATATTAAACATCATACATATATATATATATATATCATATATATACATACATAGTTATATATACATACATAAACATCAGATATATAATACGTGTGCCTGGCAAGGCCTGGCGAAGGGAGCAGCTCAGCAAGGCTCATAGCGCCTCACCGAGGCCTCAACGTTTCTTGGCGCAGCGTTTTTAGCGTTAAGCGCGTTGCGCAAAACTCGCAACACAGGAGGGTTTATCATAGGAAAACCATAGGAAAACCATAGGAAAACCATAGGAAAATGGTGATTTAATGAGAGTTTATGGTGGTTTAATGGGATTTTTCATGGGATTTACCCGGCCTGGTAAACTTACAAAAAACTATGGAAAGATCCACCATGTTTCATGGGAAAATCAACTATTTCGACTGGGTCATTTTCAATAGCTATTTTGACATAACCAGAGGGTTTAAGCAGGAAAAATGGCAGTTTAACCGACCGAAATTGGGATTTAACCAACAAATTGATGATTGTACAATGGAATATATGCTGTAGTTTATCGGAATATAATGGGGATAATAGGGATAAATTTAAACAACACTGGGATTTACAGTCAGAGTCAAACATCTGGAGTCTGATGCGAAATGTTGGGATGTACTCGCAAAATCGTGGGGTTCAGCAAACAAAACATGATTTATTTGACATGGCTGAGGAAAAACGCAGTTGTTAAAAGGAACATTGAACATCATCTAGAAATTTGCGAGCTTTTAATTGCAATGTTTGAGTACGAAAGGGTACCAGATGGCTGAGGACTATCTTGTCAATCATAATCATAATAGTAGCAATAGTAATTCAAATCATACTGTATCTATATAAATATATGTACACACTAATGTGGTAAATCCAATTTGCCCGCCATCCCATCAACCAAGCATTTGGAAGTCATTTGAAAAATCCCAAATAGGAGTTTTTTTTTTTTTAAATCACGAATTTAAACCTCAATTGAGGATGGTTTATCCTTGGGTAAAAACCACACGAAATTGTTTCATTGTTTCAACAGATCATAAAAATCAACATGTGGTAAAAATTACACCCATGTAAACCTTGTGGTACCAACATTTACCAACAAGAAACCATCAATAAACCATAAAAAAATCATGATGCACACAGCCGGGAAGCGAGGTTTCCGGGCGGTGGACGCCGTAAAGTTGGCCAAGCAAGAGTTGGAAACCACAGGGTACGGCTCTTGGTCCGTTTCGGCGGCGCTTGGTGGAAACGGAATGGCGGTTGGTGCCGGCAATTTGGCAACACAGCTGGGTAAATGTTGGTAAATGTTGGTGAAATTTCATTTTTTGTTGATTTTGAATCACATCAGATGCTTGATTGTGGGTGAATGGATTGACTTTCCTTTCAAGTAACCCAGTTTTGGATAGTTTTGGTACTTTTATAATCTTTTATACTAAATGATCTTATCCGAGTTGTTTTAAATACCTATCACTTGCTTTTTTTTTTGCTCATACACCAGCCGGCTCGGTCAACGTTTTTTTCGCCTCTGCGGGCCCGTCCATGCTTTCCTGCCCGTGGGCCCGTCCCAAGGCCCATCGTGAAAGCTGGCCGACTTCGGTTGGCCAGCGTGCTGGATGATGGGTCTGGGTCCAAATCAGCATGGGGAATTCCATAGGTTTTTTTAGAGGAATCTAAACAGTGCAACATGCTGAAAAAATTGGAGATTGATTTAAAAGTCTGAGATCTCAAAAAAGAGTATACAGTATACTATAGATCTATAGTATACTCCTCTTTTCAGATGTGAGTTTTCATTTCCATGTATAGAGTTACCGGAGGGGGCATTCATTATTTCACTGGTGAAATGTGCCGATGGGCATGGCTCACACACCAATCATTGCTATGTTCCAACCCAGCATTCCTACCGTCTTCCTTGGTTGGGACCCCTTCGTTAGTGGTTAAAGCTTCGCTTTTAGATGAGCCATATAAAGAGAATAAGTATCTTCCAAATGCGTATTATATATATAATATATATATAATTCGAATTAGGTTCCTCGAATTGTTTTCATTGCAGGTTGTAACCTCTGGTAATTTTTCACATTTAGCTATGGAAAAAATAGCCACTTGTAGATGATTTACGAATCATATACACATGGCCATGGGCCATTGGAAAGCATGGCTACGCGACAAATTACCAGAGACTATCCCGAGTTGTGCAAATTTCCACAAGGCCTTTTCAGTGATACGCAGCATCTGCTGAAAATCAATTGATTATTGGTTTTTAGCATTTATGGTAATAGGGGTATATAAGTATAACCATAGTGGGATTGGCAATAACCAGTCGATCGTTCAACCCCCAGCAGCCAGTTGCATGGGGCCCAAAATAGATTCGGACTTCTCCTCGGTGCCCTTGGTGTAGCCGTTGTTGTGTCCTATGATGTCCTATGATTGAGGGATTCTGCACATCACAATTGGGAAAAGTTTGGTGACTGGTGGGTTAATGGGTTAGGATAATATACGATAATCATACACTTCCCCAAAATGATGCAATGTCTCTACGAATTGAGAGTTTGGAAACTTTTGTTCTGGCCCGGGCACTGTTTCACAGGGGCAGCTTAAAGACAACCTCTGGATTTTGGGGTAGGCATAAACCCATGTGATTTCTGAACAGCACCTGTTGATTGAATCCCACACCCCTCTGCGAATCTCGGCCCAAGTGGGTCACTCTTGGGGCCCCCTGGGCCATGTTTTCACCGCGCTACTTCCGATACAGGCGCCCAAGTAGGAGGCTTTGAAAACAGCTGTGTTGTGCAAAGAAATCGGTATGAAAGCAAGAGAATGGCGATAGAATTGTGATGACACGTTGATCGTAGCAACAAAACTGATGATTTTTGTATAATATTTTGTATTGGACGTTGGGGTTTTCCATCGTTCATGTCCACAAAAAACCGTTCGAAAAAGCATCCCTTCCCTATTTCGAGAAGCTGCACGATCGCTTCAATCCTCATCGTTGTTGCTGCTTCTGCCCCCATTGTTGTGTCAATCTCTGATATTTTTCTGGATACCCTCTGGTAATTCAACTTACTGACTTACTGTAGCAGTGGAACAGAACCCACCAAGAAATATCCATGTATAATGGCAATGACACTGATGTCTTATGATAAGATTCTTATAATCTTATAAACACGGGGAGGCAACCATGTTTGATTGCCTGATGGTACATACCCGATTATTGTTGATGAGCCATTTGCATCCATTTGCACCAATAGAATCCGTGTTTTGGACCTTTTTGTTGGCCAAACCCAATCAATTTTTGGTTAGTTAAATAATACCAATATTTACATGGTAAACCTACACATTTTAGTTGCTTCTATGCCCTGATTATGTTGGTGAATTCCTTTTTTTTTTTTTCGGATACGTTCTGTTTGATGATCCAAACCGCATTTTCTTGCCCAACTCCGCATTGATATCGTCTTTAAATCCGCGATTTCTTTCAGGTGAAACGCTCAACTTGTGGTTTCACTCTGTTTTGAGTGCTAAATTCCAAAATTTCACGGGTTAAACATGGTTAAACTCTCATTCTTGGTTGAATCCCACTTTTTGCGGGGAAGAAGTCAATTTTTGTAGAAACGCAGAGTTTCCATGAATGTCGCAGGTCAAAGCTTCCATTTTCGGCCCTTCTTTCCGTGTAAAAATTCCAGGTGTTGTCGATGTTGTCCCTGGCGCCCCGTGGCACGTGGCTTCGAACGCGTGGCAGCCACAGTCTACGGCGAAGGCTTCGACGATGACGACGAGCTGTCCGACTTCGGGGAGGATCCTTGGGGATCTTCACGGAAAAGATGTGGCAAACTGACTATCGTGACTATCGTAAGATTCATAGGCCATTTTGTTATCTTTTGAAGGGTTTTGGAGGTTTCTCTTTGTGTTTTGTGTGTATACTTTGGGGTAAATTTGCCAGAAACTACGCAGAATTTTTGAGACAATTTCCATGATCAAGGGTAACATGTGTATATAAAATCGGTTCAAATTGACGGGGAATGTGGTACCAAACCTGGGTCAACTACTACATGAGCTGGAGTTCGGAGAAGCCACATGGCCACATGGCTGCCTCGGAAATTCCAGTAACTTTTCAGGGAAAATCATTTATCAATGGATGCTAAAATCGATGTTTCCAGGAGAGAATCATGGAACATATGGAACATCATCAATGAAAGACCATATTTTTTTTTGATATTCTTTACTTCATCGGGTAACATCACCTTTTTTTTTGATATCAATAGGCCATCCACAATGAAATCCTAAAGATGAACTTTCTATCAGTTATCACCAAATTGAACATTTTCTTCGCCCAACCCATGCCACCTGGCACCCAGGAACCCGTCAGCCGGCGTGAGCGGAAGAGCTCGCAGAAGGAGCCAATTCCGAATCATTCTTGGTGTAAGTGTAATTCAAATGACAACCCTGGAACGATCGGACATTTCACAAAACACAATTTAGCCATAACCAAACCAGCCAACAAATTGGTGTTTGACGATGAGACCGTTGGAAATAGTTGGACATTCTCACGCAACCATTTTCGGTGTTTCAAAATTTTCTTTTCGGCCTTATTCCGAAACCGGCAGGAAGAGCAGCGGCAACAAGAGACCATGGACGAGATGTTCGTGGAATTCTTTGATGCCATCGACGATTTGTCGGACAACGAGATGGAGGGAACCAGCGGCATGGGATTGGGATTGGTCATTCCGAAGCTGAAAACCGATGGCCACTTGGGCGCCCGTTCCGAGACTTTAAAAGCGGTGATGAATTCATGGCGATGCCAAACTTCGGCCGGGGTCAGCATGTACCCTCTGGTAATTTAACATAGCTATTGAAAATGGCCATTTATAGTGAATTGTCCCATTAAAAATGGTGATTTTCCATAGTTATGTTAGTTTACCAGAGGGTATTTGTAGTGTTTGAAGATGTTTGATACATGTCTTGAGGAATGAGAGTAACAGCCTAAAGTTTCGATGAGCATTGGCAATTCTCAATTGAATCCAAACAAGATCAACATTCCAAAGATCATGCACGCATTTTCGATATTCCTACGAAATTTACCAAGTGAGATGACTATCATGGCTAGGACACATACACTTATATAAACGTGATTCAACACTTTCCCGCTGTTCCAGGCAGCTTTTGCCAGATCACATTTTTTGTCAAAGACTTCTGGAGAGTTTGTTTTCACCACAGTGGCTCCCTCATGTTTCCCCTTACCAAACAGTTAAACATCCTTTTGTTACCAAAATGGGGGAGTTGAACAACGCCGAGGTGAGATTTCGGCACATTACAACGTGCCCCTGCCAGCTTTACAGCAGCTGAAGGCCTGGGAGATGGTTCGTCGAAGCCAAAGCGTATCAGGCGCTAGAGCCGCTAGAGCCTACAACCCGTGGCACGGTGGATGATTGCAGATTTCATGGGTTTTCTGTTTGGTTTATAGAAACCATTACCATCTGGTTATGACTAACATAGCCATGGAAAGATCCACCATTATTTCATAGGTAAACCATCTATAAATGGGCCATCTATACCATGGCTATGTTAGTCATAACCAGATGGTACGCATGTCGTTGGTAAGGAGAGTTTCTCAGCCACAAGCCATGAGTCTTTTTTCACTTGTCGTCTAGGTGGACTTCCCAGAATGTCCTCCAGCTGAACTGGCGCGCTTCCTGGCCCGAAAGAGCGTTTCGGGCGATGCCCAGCAGCTTGGTGGGGTATGGGCGACAGGGGGCTCCACGATGACCCCTTTCAGGATCAGGTGAGCCATGAAAGTTATAGCTTTGTTGATAGGTTAGGGGGGTTGTAGGGGGTTAGACCTTTGAACATTCTATAAGGTGATTTGGGAGTGAAGATCGAGCATTCCGGAGTATGTAGCAGAGGATTATTATGGCCCATACTCCATATTTTGCAGAGCAGTTTCTGCTGTTTGTGCGTGAGCCAGTGCCAAATGACCTCAACCCTCTAGCTATGTTGTCTAAGCCTGAAACTATTGGGGCAAGGCAAGACTGGTATCACATTGTTCACTTTGATACTGTACATCTTGATACTCTTTCCAAATTTTCAAACCTGGATGTGTTCAACTACGCACAACTAAGACTTAGACTGGTTGGTGGTTTGGAACATTTTTTATTTTCCATTTCATATATGGGATGTCATCCTTCCCATTGACTTTCATATTTTTCAAGGTGGTAGGTCAACCACCAACCAGTCACAGAATTGGATGACGGGACATTTTACAGGAAACCCCTATATTTGATGATAAAAACAATGGTTTCCTATAGATTTTCCCAACAACACCAATCCATTGAACCAGTAGAGTCATATCAACTTCGCCTTTCAGATCCACCAACCAGATATATTATTCATTAGATCAGGTATTAATCACTAATAACCACTATTAACCACTATTAATCACTATTAACCATGGTTATTGCACCACCAACCAGAACATTTTGGGGGAAATCAGCCTTTTCCATCGAGGAAGGCGGGGAAATTGATCGCCTCCTATCTGGAGTGGCGGAAAGGCATCGCGAAATGGCCGAGACTTGGCGATGGAATGAACGTACAGATGGAACATACCCAGCGGTTATGACTAACATAGCTATAGAAAATCACCATTTTTAATAGGTAAACCATCTATAAATGGACCAGAACATACGGAAAATCCATTAAAAATGGAGGTTTTATTGGGAAAACCATCTGTAAATGGGCCATTTTCCATAGCTATGTTAGTTTACCAGAGGGTACGCATGTCCTTCAGACATGGAAGACATGTTGAAAGATGCTATGGATGGTCGGTCTGACCTCCTGAGTCAGCATACAAAAGAAGGATGTGGAGAATTTGCACCAGATCATTTCTAGATCATGTTCTTAGGGAGACACTAGCGGTTTTCCACATCTTTTTCCGGATGTTTCGTTGGAGATTGGGTCTGATTTCATCATATTTTATCCCAAAGATACAGGCTGTTGGTACTGCCAAATTGTATGAGCAGAATGGCCAGAAAAAAACACCTTCAAGATTGGAGGTCCAGAGATTCTTGACCCCGTGGAAATCCATTTTTTTTTTATTTGCTGTGCATCCAGGTATACATGGGTGCATGACTTGAAGCATTTCCAGGTACCCTTATCCCTGCATCTCCCAGTATCTCCCAGTGGCAGTGAATGACTAGCACCTGCCATTCACTTCAGTATCTTCAGTTGGACGATGATTCTCCTACGTTCCCAGGGTATATTTCGACATTCGCATTTTTATCTTGGTTTCATATCCCCATCTGTTGGCTGCCGTTTCAAGCCAGTGACATCTCCATGATTGGCCCCAGGCAGCCACCGAGCGACTTGCCGAACCCCTTTCGCTTCAATGGCTTTGCGCGGGACGGCTCACGGCTGCTGCTGCTCTTGCCCTGCACTATTGACATTGGCTTTAAACCGGAGCTCTACTGTCACCTCTTTGCAGAATTATTTCGTGATGAAATGTTGATTGGATTGGTTTAAGGGAAAATTTTAACCGGAAACCATAGATTTTCCCATGAAGATCATGGGGCTTTCCTGCAGATTTTCCCTTAAACCAATCCATTGAAATGTTTTTTTTTCCCGGAACCCACTTGAAAATCAAGGGATTGAACAAAAAACTATAGAAGAAAAATGCAGATTTAAGATGAGTTATACTCAGTGATTATCACTATATTAAATCAAGAAATGAATGACAATTTCATTGTGTGTTATCACCATTGGGATATCGCATTCTGGACCTGGCTTATCCAAGGCTGGCTTTTTAGGATCCAGAACCATCCATTGAATCCCTTTCTTTCTTTGTCCACCCGAATGAGAACATGCAGAAAATATCAGAACATTAGGTTTAAACCATTCGGATCCATTTGGATTTTGGGGTAGCCATGGGCCATGTTTTTTCTTGGAGAAACCAAGACCTGAGGATGGAGTCAAAGGTCGTGGAAGTCACGCTTAAGCAGGGTGAACTAATTGTCTATCTCGGGATGACTGTATCAGCAACCTCAAATTGGTGGGGTAATAAAAAAAACTCACAGACCATCATAGACAATCTTTTTTTTGGGGCAGCCAAGTCCGAAGCAAACCCAGCCGAAACCCTGTAGGATGCTGCGGATTCCCAAGCTTTGAAAACTGCAGGGATTTCACGTCATAGCTGAAGATCTTACTTTGGAAGGCGGTTGTTGATCGGAACGTGCAAAATTTCTTTGTCGTGTTGCATCTATATCTATATATATATATATAAATAATTATCTTTGATGTTTTCCCATCAAAAAACGACAGTCCTTAAAACCCGAATTTCAACGACCCAGACTGACAAAGATGTCCTAAAGAGTTTCCCAGTGAAAGCCATGAAATGTCCCCATGTTTTCACATTATTTTTGTTGGTCACGTAAACACGTAAACTTTTTTTTTTCCGCTTGGTTCAATCCCGATTTTTGGTGGTTACTAACCACACACTTTTTGATGCTTAAATCCGCATGTTTCTTGGTTAATGTCATTTTTCTTGTTTAAATACAATTGTTTCTTGGCAAAATCAACATAATTGATGGTTAAAGACCTGTTTTCCTTGGCTAAATCCCCAAAAAAATGATGATGAAGTCCTGATATTTTTGCGTGTTGTCAAATCACATTTTTTCCTGATCTTTCCCCAAATTTCCATCAGTTGTGTCCCAAGACACCACCCCACCTCCTCGCCAGCCAGGTCAAACCTTGGTTCGGAACTTGGATGTGGAGGTGGAGCGTGCCGATACGCTGCGCTTCACGGTGCTGCTGGACTGCCGGCCACACCTGGCGCTGGGCTACGATGCCAAGCCCGTGTGGAGGACGTGGAGGGATGGGGGTAGCCTCTGTGACAGGGTCGTAGCGTCGTAGCGCGCCATTTTCAAAAAACCTGCCACATTTAAATCATCGAAGTTCATGGGCCATTTTCCATAGCTATGCAAGCGCAAAAATACCAGAGGGTGATTCTGAGAGAAAAAGTGATAGCTGCGAATTGCGTTTAATGGGATTCTAAGTGATGGTTTGGTTGGTAAGTTGCTGGTTTCGAGTTTCCAGTTTCCAGGGGATGATGAAAAATATCCCAAGTGACGATATTTTGTGGGGAAAACTGGAGACTTCCCATTGCCATTGCCTCTGATCTGGCAGCCCATTGCCCGAGAATCCATGCGTTTCCCCTGCAGAAAACCTGGATTTGCTGAAGATTGGCGAATCCATTACTATCATTCTTCCACTCGGAATAGCTTGTTTTTGCATTAAGCAAATGAACGAGGGTTGATTCACCATCAACGCCAGCTGTATATACATACATACATACATACATACATACATACATACATACATACATACATACATACATACATACATACATACATACATACATACATACATACATACATACATACATACATACATACATACATACATACATACATACATACATACATACATACATACATACATACATACATACATACATACATACATACAGACACACACACACAGACATACGTACGTACGACATACATACATACATACATACATACAGACATACAGACATACAGACATACAGACATACAGACATACAGACATACAGACATACAGACATACAGACATACAGACATACATACATACATACATACATACATACATACAATTACACACACATATTATATATGTATATAATATGTGCATTCTAGTGCTTATGACATGTGTTTATCAAGCCACCACAGCGCGGGCTTAGGTTTTTTTTTTCCCTGCTGTTGATCGAGCCCCTGCTGTCGCCAGGCTCTGGTCGCATATCTCGGCCATGGCCAAGATCTTTCAGGCGATGGCCTGGGACACGGCTGGAAAAATGGGATTTTGTTGTTTTTTGGGTGGAAAACCATAGGAAAACCATAGGAAAATGGTGATTTAATGAGGCTTTATGGTGGTTTAATGGGATTTAATGGGATTTACCTGGCCAGGTAAACGTTTACATATCAATGGAAAGATCCACCATTTTATAGCTGGGAAAATCACCATTTTTTGGGACACATGGCTGGATGGGTTTTCCTTTTTGATTTTAACCTGCAAACATACGTAGCTAATAAGGAATACGAGATTTCTATGCAGTGTGGGGGTGGTTTTAAAGTGGGATTTCATTTTTTTTGTTTCAATGAGCGAGCATGTGGTGTTCGAACAGCAGAATTCACAAATCAAGATCAAGCAGGTCGTGAGTCAATGTTTCATATCATGACTCCATTCAAAACAGAACAATGAATGTGACTCCATGCCTTCACTCTGCATGCACTTCTGGCATCTTGCTCCACAAGTTGTGGCCTGCATTGTGGCACCACTGCACAGGCTGCACATACAGTTCCACTGCTGATCATTGATCAGTCTAGTTGCCCCTGACTTGCTGGCCAAAATTCGAAGAAAGATACCGGGTTCTAAATCAACATCGCAAGAAATAGAATATGTCAGTGTCACAACCCCCTGCAGCCCTGCACCCCCACAATGTCTCACTTGTAGCGAGTGTGTGTACATATTATATATATATATGCAACTTTATCAGCGTAGCAGCAAGTGTGCACGAAAGGTCATGGGCATAGCAACAACATAGTATTTGCAAGCTCATCATCGTAGCAGTAATTGCCAGTGAAACTTCATCAGCGTCGCAACCCGTAGCGTCTACAACCTGACATGAACGTGATTGCCAACCCCACCCTAACCCCACCCCAAACCCACACCAGTAGAAAACCGCGCTTTTTCCCCGCGTTGAAAATACAGCCTTTAGCACTTCAACAACACTGACAGTGGGAATCCAGTCATCAAAAAAACGATGCTGCAACTGATACAATTATTATTTTCGTTCCAATTTTTGGGATACCTGACTTAAATCTTTGAACTTTGGGCATCAACTGAATCAACTGCAACACCCCACTGGGAGAATTTCACTGGCATGTTTCTGGGGCTGACAGGACATCCATTGACAGGTGTTTTCTTGTTTTTCTGTTAGGCCTCTGAAAACAGACTGGAGGAACTTCGACAGTTCAGCTGGCAGATTATGATACAGGATATGACATGATATCCTCAACATTTTTGGGATCCAGCTTGAGGTTTAGTCAGTTTAGTCGCGCACCCGACATCAGCCAACTTGGCTGTGGCCCCATGGCCATCAGAATTTCCCGTGCCACCGTGCCAGTCCTACTTCCCGGAGAGATTGCAACGCTTCGTGACTGGGCTCACTGAGAGCCAAAGCTCGATGCAAGGCAACTTCTTCCAATAATGAGCACCAAATGTTGTAGCGGGGGGGGGGAAAGAAGGAAAGACAAAGGATGTGGTGGAGGACCAACTTGATGGTGTGTGACGAAGAAAGATGGTGTGTGTGAAAGTTGTGTGTGAAAGAGAGCGTGTGACAAAGTTGTGTGTGAAAGATGGTGTGTGACAAAGTTGTATGTGAAAGATGGTGTGTGACCAAGAAAGATGGTGTGTGTGACAAAGTTGTGTGTGAAAGATGGTGTGTGTGAAAGTTGTGTGTGAAAGAGAGCTTGTGACAAAGTTGTGTGTAAAAGATGGTGTGTGACAAAGTGGTGTGTGAAAGATGGTGTGGCGAAAGATGGTGTGTGACAAAGTTGTGTGCGAAAGATGGTGTGGTGAAAGATGGTGTGTGACAAAGTTGTGTGTGAAAGATGGTGTGTGTGAAAGTTGTGTGTGAAAGAGAGCGTGTGACAAAGTTGTGTGTGAAAGATGGTGTGTGACAAAGTGGTGTGTGAAAGATGGCGTGGTGAAAGATGGTGTGTGACAAAGTTGTGTGCGAAAGATGGTGTGGTGAAAGATGGTGTGTGACAAAGTTGTGTGTGAAAGATGGTGTGTGACAAAGTGGTGTGTGAAAGATGGCCTGGTGAAAGATGGTGTGTGACAAAGTTGTGTGCGAAAGATGGTGTGGTGAAAGATGGTGTGTGACAAAGTTGTGTGTGAAAGATGGTGTGTGACAAAGTGGTGTGTGAAAGATGGCGTGGTGAAAGATGGTGTGTGACAAAGTGGTGCCAGCCCAGTGCCATAAGTGCCACGCCTGCCACGCAAGTCGAAGGTGGATGTGACCAAGTGCCACGCCTGCCACGCAAAGTGCAAGATGATGTGTGACAAAGTTGTGTGACAAAGTTGTGTGTGACAAAGTTGTGTGTGAAAGATGGTGTGTGACAAAGTTGTATGTGACAAAGTTGTGTGTGAAAAATGGTGTGTGACAAAGTTGCGTGTGAAAGATGGTGTGTGACAAAGTTGTGTGTCAAAGATGATAGGTGACAAAGTTTTGTGTGACAAAGGTGTGTGACAAAGTTGTGTGTGAAAAATGGTGTGTGACAAAGTTGTGTGTGAAAGATGATGGGTGACAAAGTTGTGTGTGACAAAGTTGTATGTGAAACATGGTGAGTGACAAAGGTCAAAGTTGTGTGTGACAAAGTTGTGTGTGAAAGATGGTGTGTGACAAAGTTGTGTGTAATGGTGTGTGACAAAGATGGCGTGTGACAAAGTTATGTGTGAAAGATGGTGTGTGCCAAAGTTGTGTGTCAAAGATGATAGGTGACAAAGTTTTGTGTGACAAAGGTGTGTGACAAAGTTGTGTGTGAAAAATGGTGTGTGACAAAGTTGTATGTGAAACATGGTGGGTGACAAAGTTGTGTGTGACAAAGTTGTATGTGAAACATGGTGAGTGACAAAGGTCAAAGTTGTGTGTGACAAAGTTGTGTGTGAAAGATGGTGTGTGACAAAGTTGTGTGTGAAAGATGGTGTGTGACAAAGTTGTGTGTAATGGTGTGTGACAAAGATGGCGTGTGACAAAGTTATGTGTGAAAGATGGTGTGTGCCAGAGTTGTGTGTGACAAAGTTGTATGTGAAACATGGTGAGTGACAAAGGTCAAAGTTGTGTGTGACAAAGTTGTGTGTGAAAGATGGTGTGTGACAAAGTTGTGTGTAATGGTGTGTGACAAAGATGGCGTGTGACAAAGTTATGTGTGAAAGATGGTGTGTGCCAAAGTTGTGTGTGAAAGATGATGGGTGACAAAGTTGTGTGTGACAAAGTTGTATGTGAAACATGGTGAGTGACAAAGGTCAAAGTTGTGTGTGACAAAGTTGTGTGTGAAAGATGGTGTGTGCCAAAGTTGTGTGTGAAAGATGGTGTGTGACAAAGAAGTTGTGTGAAAGATGGTGTGTGCCAAAGTTGTGTGTGAAAGATGATGGGTGACAAAGTTGTGTGTGACAAAGTTGTATGTGAAACATGGTGAGTGACAAAGGTCAAAGTTGTGTGTGACAAAGTTGTGTGTGAAAGATGGTGTGTGCCAAAGTTGTGTGTGAAAGATGGTGTGTGACAAAGAAGTTGTGTGTGATGGAGGAGGCGGAGGAGGCGGAGGAGGATGAGGAGGATCCGGTGGAGGCGGCGGGATACAGAATCAAAAACAAGAACCCCACACAAAGATGTGGGTAAAAACACTTGGAAGATGAGATTATTCTTCCAAATGATAAATAATGATGAATAGCGATAAGGAATTGGATCACCAAAACCACTGGAATCCAAGCAATTCCCAGTTGTAACTGCGAACCGTTGGAGGACTGTATGGGGGATGTATATGCTTGAATATCTGTCAATAAATGTCAGCCCATTTTCTTTGAAGAAGCCTGTCCGCGGAACCCAAAAGCATCCATAGCCATTTTCAAGATTAATATGAGTCATGGTCAAAATGGTTGAAGACTGCTTTAGTATTAACTGCAGGAGTGTTTTGTCAGAGTTGTGCGCGAAACACTGTAAAGCGATATATGGTCCCCCTCAAAAGCGATAATGGCACAAAACACTGGAAAGCAATATGCCCCTCCCGAAAGCTATAACCGATAATAGCAACTACAGAGATGTAACGGATTTTGACAGGAGCTCATATGTATATATATATATGGGCAAAAAATAATATACAGTTGAACCGATTGGTGAGGTCCACCTGAAAATTCTTGGGCATGTAACTGCATGACCAACGGGACATATGAGGGTGTGGACGATGATGTTGTCAAGGAAGCCAAACTAAACCATTCAACTCTTTTTCAGGTAAGTATGAAACTTTGCAACCCAATGATCATAGATAAAACATCCACTCTTCAGCATTTGGAAAACCCAAAGTTGATCAGGTTATGCCCAAGTTTCACCCGTGTCCACACATGTTCTGACCATTTGTCATTGTCTGTAAATGTTGGATGCCTCAAATTCCGAAATGTTCATGCGGAAAATGAAGTTACACAATGTTTTAAAATGAAGTTATACCATCATCTGTTTTTCAGGGAGTTTTCAGCCACACACAAAATCATGAGCTGTGAAGTTCCCAGGTGATCTACCCCGCGGGTGATCTGGAGATGGGCGCCTTCCGGATGTTTAAAGGTGCCTTGGACATACATGGTGACCACCTTGTAAGAACAGCCACGTGCCAATCATTTTGCTTTTCTATCTTTTTTTTAAAAGTTACTACACCTATATACTGCGATGGATATTGTATGTGCACATATGCATATTGATAGTTCTGATGAAATGTGTGCATGTGTATATATATATGTAAAAATAATGTTAACATATATAATGCTGAGATACATATTTGTGCCTACGGCCCGAAAACCGGCCCAGCGTTTTTGCGTTTTTTTTTTTTTTGGCGTTGTGATATGTTTGGGTGGGGTGGGGTGGGGGGGGTGTAAAAACGTCCTGTATCTACGTTCTCATCGACTTTCTTCCGTAAGCAGACTTCATGCTACGTTCTACAGTTCTGTTGTACTTCGGTAAGCAAGCTTCATGCTATGTTCTACAGTTCTGTTGTACTTCGGTAAGCAGGCTTCATGCTTCTACAGTTCTGTTGTACTTGGGTAAGCACGCTCCATGCTACGTTCTACAGTTCTGTTGTACTTCGGTAAGCAAGCTTCATGCTACGTTCTACAGTTCTGTTGTACTTCGGTAAGCACGCTTCATGCTTCTACAGTTCTGTTGTACTTGGGTAAGCACGCTCCATGCTACGTTCTACAGTTCTGTTGTACTTCGGTAAGCAAGCTTCATGCTACGTTCTACAGTTCTGTTGTACTTCGGTAAGCATGCTTCAAGCTACGTTCTACAGTTCTGTTGTTCTTTGGTAAGCACGCTTGGACCAAACGCCAAAGAAGCCGGACAGATCAAACTCTATTGCTCTAAATGGTTTAAACTGACTCAGAACGGTCAACGTGGATGTTGGTATTGCCAGCCGTTCCCGCGTGAACGATTCAGTGAACTCGGCATGGTTCACAAGAAATTACTTTACTTCGTGTGATCCCCACCATGACATTTATACATTTTCTTACTGGCAAATCTTCTGGCTTTCTATCTGACATATCTTCTGACATTCTATTTGACATTCTATCTGGCATATCTTCTGGCATATGATCTGGCATATCTTCTGGCATATCTTCTGGCATTCTATCTGGCAAATCTTCTGGCATTCTATCTGGCATATCTTCTGGCACTCTATCTGACATATGGCATTCAATCTGGCATTCTATCTGGCATATCTTCTGGCATATATTCTGACATATCTTCTGGCATTCTATCTGACATATCTTCTGGCATATATTCTGACATATCTTCTGGCATATCTTCTGGCATATCTTCTGGCATATCTTCTGACATATCTATCTGGCATATCTTCTGGCATATTTTCTGGCATTCTATCTGGCAAATCTTCTGGCATTCTATCTGGCATTCTATCTGGCATATCTTCTGGCATATTATCTGGCATTCTATCTGGCATATCTTCTGGCATATCTTCTGGCATATCTTCTGACATTCTTTCTGACATTCTTTCTAACTTTCTTCTGCACATTCTTTGTCCCATATCTTCCTACATGAGGTCCGGCAGGGAACACTTGGCGTGGATACTCGCGGTTGAGGTCCGGCAGGGAACACTGGGCGTGGATGGTCGTGGTGGAGGTCCGGCAGGGAACACTGGGCGAGGATGGTCGTGGTTGAGGTCCGGCAGGGAACATTGGGCGTGGATGGTCGTGGTTGAGGTCCGGCAGGGAACACTGGGCGTGGATGGTCGTGGTTGAGGTCCGGCAGAGAACACTGTGGATCGCGGGTCGCAGTTGAGCAAGGACGACGAGGACGACGAGGACGACGAGGACGACGAGGACGACGAGGAGGACGAGGAGGAGGAGAGGAGGACGAGGCAGGAGGAGGCGGAGGAGGAGGAGGAGAAGGAGGAGAAGGAGGAGAAGGAGGAGGAGGAGGCAACTGACATAAAATCTAACAACCCTCACCTGGCAGGTGGGGAAAAATACCAAGATCTCACACTAGCAATGAAGCGAAATGTACGACCTTAGCGCTCAGACTTTACACATGGATAAAACAAGGCAAAAGATTTCAATTTTCTCTCTGCCTCACGGTATGCCTCGACAAAGTTTATATATGTCGTTCTTCATTCATGATTTTAGGAGTTGGAAAGGAAAGCTTTGTTGCCAGTGTCTGCATGGGTGTGCATGACATGAACTTCCACTTGAACACAGTCACTGGTTGCATTGAAATATATAGAACAATCAGCCCTCTGCCCGAGCCAAGGCAAACCGTCGCCAATCAATGTAGTTGGGATGGGGAAAGGGCCCCCCTCCCAAAGGTTCTTGTGGAACCAAAAAGAAAGTGCGTAGTCACGGGACGAAAGAAAAGCCATGTCGTCGGATCTGTAAAAAGCGTGGTCACTTCGTTAGCTCGGAGATTGCTGGATGCCATTCGTAAAACCACCAACACGTCTGACATAGCCAACTTTCTCTCTTCCAACAAAAAAGCTCATGTCGATGGAATGGTCTTCAAGCCCAAACGGACACTCAAGAAACGTGCTCGAGGTCTTGCATGGCACCGGTCCCCCGAGACAGATGCCAGTCGCCGTAAACAGACTGCAAAGGCAAAGGGTATGAAAAGATCGCCAAAGACAAAGCTATCAGTGCGCCAAAGACCTTTGAAGTCCAAAAGCAGACGTCCCTTCACTGAAAGAGAGACCAAGAATGCGTATTTCGCGTTGAAAAAATCCGCTTGGGCCTGGACACCCCAACAATGTCACAATTGTGGCGGTTCTGTGGTCTCCTGCGCTTGGTTGAAATCCGCAGAACGAGGTTGGGGGTCTTGATTTACATGCTTTTCTGGACATTTGTTTTCAATTTTTCCGAGGAGCAAGACAAACTCGTCATAACAAAATTCTCCAATCCAAAGTGACTTGTTCCGCCACATTCCTTGGTGCCTTGTTAGGTGAAGGACGACATTCTTACCATTGTCGAGAATGTGGTTCCCGCAGAGATGTTTTGGCATGGAGCTCTTTGACTGTTCTACGCTTGCCCCTGGTCATGGTTTGGCGTGTGAAGCCACCGCCAGAAAGCAAACGCAAAATTGACACTTGTCACCTGTCCCAGCTTTTTCTTCCCAAAGCTCACTTCAAGAACACCATCCTGTTTACTGACGGAGCACCTGCCTACCCGGCTGTGGCAGAGAAGTTGAATGTACAGCATGAATTTGTGAACCACTCCAAAGGCCAATTTACAAAGACAGTGTGCCGTGTCCAGCGAGGCAGCCCAAAGGTGCTGGCCCACTGGTACAATAGATTGTTACTGGAAGGCCTGTAAAAACATGTTGCCAAGTAGCCTGTCTAGCCAAAGTCCAATGATCATGACATATGTCAAGGCTTGGCAATGGCGATGCATACATCGAAATGCTGATGTGTGTGACATCACTGCAAAGACGGTCCGCAAGTTGATGTGATGGAAAAGAGTCGCTGGCGCTGTGGCGACTTGCGGTGTTGGCCAGATGTTGATATCATGGTGATGTCTTTAGGCACGTCAATTCCATTGGGATTTATGGACAATCATTGTTTTACTGCAGTGGGAGTCAAAAAATGCATGTTGAAACCATCCCAAAAACGTAACGTTTTTTGAGGGTGTTCAACATTTTTTTTTAGCTCCCACTGCAGTAAAAGAGTGATTTCATCAATCCCAATGGAATTGAGGTGCCGAAAGACATCACCATGATATAAAAACGTGGCAAATACCAAGGTTTTCATGGAGAAGGACATCACCATGAACATGAAAATTGATGAAAACGCTGGGCCGATTTCCGGGCCGTTCGGATAGTTGTGTATGCGTGATATCCGAAGAATGGGAACACACACACATTTATAGCTACAAAGTGCCCCTACCACAGATGGGGAAGACAATGAGTCTAGATCCAATGTCTATGGTATGAGCTGCAAATATCGCGAGAGAAATCAATTCCAGAATGGAATTGGGTACTGTCTAAGGGTTTCCTATTTGCAGGAAACCCCTATATTTGGGACTAAGATGGACTAAGAACGTTTAAAACCATAAAATTTCTACTGTACCAATCCAATGAATGTTGTGGAGATATGATGAGATATGGCTAGGGACAAACGTCTTTCCATTTTCAAGGGCCATGAGCATCCATAGATCCCAGCTATTTGGATGTTCACCACAGCCTCTCAGAGCGGGCCAGGTTTGCTGTCGACGGAGACGGTGAAGAGGGTGCAGCGCACCGGACGGGAACTCCGAGTGAAAATGGTCAGATCGGTCTAGTCATTGGGGTACCTGGATACCTATGGCAAACACAACATGGGTATAAATGGATATAAATGGCACATGTTAGCATTCAACCATCCACTATTTTGGGCAACAAACAGTTTGAACCATTCCCAAATGGGTATGGGTCAACCAGTTTGAGCCCCAAACTGAGCAAGATGAACGTTCCAACATGACAACCGCAACTAGGTCAACATCCGTGTGTGGAAAGGCAAGCAAAAGTTACCCATATGGTCCAGTTCTGTAGGTGGAAACCCATGCACTCTTGGTGAATACCCTCCATGACTCATAGGAAGATGAGCAATGGTGAAAACTACGGACAAGAACGAAACACCACATGATTCAGGTTCGCACCGACTCCTATTTTGAGGCATCAGTTTCGAACTACAAACGGGTATTGCAGTTCTATCAAACATGAAATGAGATGGTGTCACTTTCCACCATGGAAATGACATACATGAAATGAGACCCTATCAGATTATTTGGAATTGGTGATTGGACCACAATGTCTCGGGATGGCTCCACTCCTTTGATCCGTCGACTGTGGCAGGTGCGTTTGCTGTACAGTAAGCTTGGCTATGCGGCCGCCGCGCCACCCCCTGAGTTGCTGGAAATTCTGGATGTGGCCGAGATCCGGCGAGAGAACAAAGTCTTCTTCACCGGTCTTGAGCCAGATGTATAGAGCTCTGGCAAATTCCCCAAGGGATTCGGCAAACGATCTGATGTATATTTAATATATTTAGATTATGTATGATTATGTGATATTGGGGATGTGAAACAACTTCATATGATTTGGGTGTATCTGAAAATGGGGGATTAACCCCACATGGCAATTCTAAAAGGACAAACGATGATCACCCATTCGTTTTTTGGGGTACCCTATTTTCAGACCAACCCATCTGGCTGGGTATTGAAAGTACTCCTTAATCATAAAGAGATCTGACTGTCGCGAAATAGCTTATACCCTCTGGTAAACTAACATAACTATGGAAAATCACAATTTTTCAAGGGAAAACATCACTATAAATGGTGATTTTCCACAGTTATGTTAAATTACCAGAGGGTAACTTATTTATGATTTATGACGTCGATTGATGTCGGTTACGGTTGTTCCTTTTTTAGTGGTCACATGTGGGAAAAACATGTTCCCATGACGGCATCTTTTCCAGGACCTTTTGCCAATGCTCATTGAAACTAGTCACCGCGAGCGCCCTGACTTCCAGGAGGAGAAATGCTTCCGATGTACAGGAGCACAACGGCATTTCCCACAGAAATTCAATATATCCGAAGTTCTTTGTTTTGGGTATATATACATATGTATATGTACTGTATATATGTAGCTATATATACGTATATGGATCAGAATACATATACATTACATATAGATTTTCACAAACAAACACGCACGCACACACACACATGATTATATCTGATTATGTATATACATACATACCTATGCACATGTCTTTGTATTTACAAAGGCATGTTGGTGATACTTACCATATTTGCCCCCAAATGAAAGTGTGGAAGGGGCACGGTCTATTTGCGGTTTCACCACCGTTTTTTGGAGCACCGATTTCGGTGTCACCAAAGGACAGCATCGGTGCTTGCAGACTCCGGCCAGAGGAAATCCTGTATGGGGTCGGATTCAATAGCAGACAAATTAAAAGGCAGCTGGTGGACTGATTTCCAGATATGCCTACATCCCCTTGACCATGTGAAGAGTACTTGCAGCTTCTCCCTGTTTTCGCCTGCGTTTGAACCGAGATGTTTTGTCCCACTGTTGAAACAGGGATGCCCAGTCCACTCCACTGCAAAAAGTGATTGGCGACGGTTCCAGCAATTCCCCGCATTGATGCTCCTGCTTTTGTACATCAGTGCGGCATGAGTTTTCATGTGAGTTGCTCTGAACCTCCAAAATCCAGTTGTAACGGTTTATCATAATTTTCCTCATTAAAATTGTTATTTGAATGAAGGTATACTATGTACATTTTCAGACAGACCCATGTGAATTTCCATGCTGTTAATTTTTGACATTTCGACATTTTACCAATGCATGGTCGTTGATTGTAATTTGACCATTGAAGCACCAGGACAATAACGACCATGGTTAGCTTCGAAATCGGACAGTCATCCCAGTTCTGGGTTATCCCATCTGTCAGCTCAGTCTCAGCTCTATCTCTCTATCTCTGTATATCTCTGTATCTCTCTATCAATATATCTCTCTACCTAACTTAACCAAGATCTAATCAAATCAAATCTACTCTAAATCGAATCCAATCTAATTTTTATTTTATCTAATCCGATCTATATGATTTTTGCTTATCTATTTAACACTATCTTACCTGATCTTATCTTATCTCATCTTATCCTGTATATTTATCTATTTATCTATCTATTTACCTAATCGACCTAATCTACCTACCTATCTCTGATTCCTTCTTTCTTTCCTATCTATCTATCCATCCATCCGTCCATCCATCCATTGTAAATATATATATATATATGTCTACTAGTAACACCAGAGTATTGTATAGCAGCATTGAAGGTGTTTACTTCCATTCCTGAGATGAACCTCCCCAGGTCGGGGCGCGACACGGGACCCGTGCTTCACGATGGATTCTACAAGCTGGCTGCAACGGTCACCAGGCGGTCCTTGAAACCTAAGGTGACATGTCAACCCACGACAGATGGTAGTGGGACAGCAACAATCTGAGCTTTTTGTCACCTACGACAGATACTTTTTAAGGTGGTTTTGGCGATATGTTCTATTTTTCTTGGGGTTGGAACATCTCTATATATCTCTATATGGTCATGTCCCGAATCATTTCGCAAATCTCACCCACAGAAGAAGAGTGTTGTCATTGAAGAGACATACATTATTCTTATGACTACCCAAGGATATTTCACTTTAGCCAATTGTAGAATATCGTACCAATATTGTACAATTCAATCAAGCACACCACCTCTTGGGGAATTTCAATCAGCAACGTCCAGGCCCGAGCCCAGTTTGCGGCAAAAGGCAGGGGGCCCAGAGCCATGGGAATCTCAACGAGAGCACTCCTTCGGCCTTTCTTTTTTTCACAATCAGACCGGAAAAACCGTTGTTGGAGGGATATTCTTCAGTGTCCCCGATCAATAAATGTCCCGCAAATCTTTGTTTTATCATGCAAGTTGGTAGGCTTTTGCTGGAGTTGGGCCGGGAAGGATGAGTCCACCGGTTTTTGTATTTTTTGGTAGCTTCAACCTTCCAATCGCGATGCACCCTCCTAACCGCTCTCCTCAGAGGACACCCCATCGCAACAAGATGCCAATGGCCACCAACACCAACAGCGCCACCACTACTGCTACGCAGAAAAAGAAGAATAAAGAAAGAGAAAAAAGAGAAGAAGAAGAAGAAGAAGAAGAAGACGAAGAGGAAGAAGAAGAAGAAGAAGAAGAGGAAGAGGAAGAGAGGGAACCAACAAAAGCGAACAAAGTACGATCCAAATGACAGCTTTTACCTTTTTAAACTGCTGCAAATACATCTCAAATAAGAGATCGTCGTTCCAAAATGCTGCAAGTACAGAGCAAACTTGCTAACATAATCACACTGCGTTCAAAGCTTCAAAGTGCTGCAAACCCGGTGCAGACGCTAGATTTATGATTTGGGATCCACAACGCTGCAAGTACAGTACAAATCTCAAATATTCTTTTTTCCCCCCCAAAATGGATCATGCGTAATTTTTCCATCAACGTTTTTGGTCCAGTACCCTCCGGTAATCAAACATCGCACTGGACAATTCTCCATATATAGATTATTTTCATTTATTTTCCACTTAGTTAAATGCTGTTAAATGCTCATTTAGGGGGATTTCTCATTGCCATGTTTGATGACCGGAGGGTATGTATTTTTTGATCCACTTCCCATCCCTAGGGATGCTGCTGGCGGAGAGTTTGGCTTGTCGCAACATCACCATTTTTCCATGGGAAACTCTTGATTCAGGATGGGACTAAGCGTCCATAAGCGGATCTGAATAGTTTTTTCTTTACACTGCAATGTTTCTCTGGATGGTACACCAACTGCACCCTTGACTCTTACGCACTAGGCCACCAATTTGCAAAAGTCTTTGGAGATGCAGTTGGAACGTCGGGGGCTCCCAACGGGTGCATGTTTCGGTGGGGTTCGCCTTCTGGGGTTGAGCCCCACCCTGCTGGAATTTATTCCCAGACTGCCCCTGCACGTTGTCTCTCCGTGGGTTTCCTTCAGTTACCACGTGTTTTTCCCATGGTAGGTATATATATATACTATAATCTCTCTATGTAAATATATATATATATATATTTTGGCTCATAGCTCATGCTCCTATTCTGAAATAAATTACATGTCCCCACATTTTATGCCCTGGAAGGGTTGATTTTTCTCATCACACGAAGACTAGGGCTCAGGAGTATCCCCTGCTTTTGATCTGACCCATGCAGGGTTTCAAACTGATTATCCGTATTTTGGAAATCCAAGCACCACATAGTTTTTTACACCCTAAAATTTTGGGGCCATGAGCCATTGATTTCCCCATTAAACACGTAAGTTATTGGACTTTTATGCCCCCCCCCATTGTAAGATCCCCGGGTGCACAAACGAGGTCTTCGTGTGGCTGCAGGCCTCGACGGCGTTGCAGCAAACGTACAATCGAGGGAAGCTGATGGAAATGATGAGCAAAAATATAGATTTTTCATCTAGATTACATACTTATACACGTACAATCATATATATATATATGTATCTATATATATATGTATCTATATATATATATATGTATATATATATAAGTATGTAGATACCTAATATAGCAAATATATCACATATCTATACATCCCATGTTTCTTCGAAAGAAAAGGCCAATGCTTGTTGGCCAAAATACCTGTTGGATACATGGTTGGATGCACAGTTGGGTGTTCGCGCAGGAAAGGATGTCCAGAGCCTTGTGGACCCCCCGTTAGATCCGGATGCGAACACTGCCCTTCCAGCCATAGAAGGCCATCCGCAGAGTGTCGGAGCTTGAGAACTGAACGGTTCAAACTCGTGGCGAATGCTGAAACAATCGCTGAGATCATCCGAATTTGAGAGGCATTCCTCGTTTTTCTGGACCTTGTTTTTTCTTAAAGAAACTACACCACCAATTGTGATGATTGCAGTATATTGCAGTTCAAGACACAGAATCATCAAACTCCGTACCTGATTTTATTGTCTTACATAGCGGAAATGGCACAGTTCCTTAGCAGGTTTGACAGCAATCACATTTCTCTGCATCTGAGATGTAGTCCAGTGCACCGTACTACCAGTGGTACATCGCATATCATATATCCATATACAATTATACACATTATATCACATTATTATTAATGCATTATACATATCTATCTGCTATATATATATATATATATATATACATTACACATTGTACCCATACACACACATATATATACACACTGTATCCGCATGGATAGATTTTTGGCATCGAGGGGCTGATGCCAGAATTAAAAAAAACACACTTTTGATGGATGGGACAACCACAAACAAGAAAACCCTGTTGTATGCTATATCATAACGGTCGTGTACCGTACCTTTTGCAATGTTTATTGTGGAACTGGATTTCTGCCAAGAAGTGCATCATTTGTGAAGATTCCCATCACTTTCTGAACACTTGCCAGGGGAGAAACACAGCGACACCTTCATCACCCAGGAGGAGCGATAGTCGATGTACCGAAACGTGCGCAAACTGGCGCAGCTAATCTAGATGCTCATTGCCATGGAAGTGCAAACTGGAGGCTTGTTCCAACTTATTCTAGATTCAATGAACATGTGCATCTGCAGAACGTATATCCCATCAAAATATGTACCTCTACAAGGAGCTGCAATCGAGCTTGGGTATATACATGCACACCTATGCATACATCATTCTATAGCTGAACATCTATACACAGGTCGCCCGGCAACTCCCATGGTTCCTCTGGGAGGAGCCCAGCGTCGAAGCCAGCTTTGGGCTGCAGCTGGTGTCGCTTGGCGATGAAGCCGGGAAAATGGCAGGTTGGTAGAAGGTGATACCCTCCTAGCCAAGTTCGTTTATAATTATATAGGTTATATAGTTATATATTGTGGAGCGCGTTGGCTTCTTTATTTGCCATTTCTGTAAAATCCAGAAACTACTTCTTGCACAGGTAGAAACCATTTGCTAAATTCTAGAGAGCATTTGCTAAATACAATACTAGAAACTATTTGCTAAATACTAGAAACTATTTGCTAAATACTAGAAACTATTTGCTAAATTCTGGAAATCATTTGCTAGATACTAGAAACCATTTGCTAAATACTAGAAACTATTTGCTAAATTCTAGAAACCATGTGCTAAATACGAGAAGCCATTGCTAAATACTAGAAACCATTTGCTAAATAAGTAGGATATGTAGAAACCTTTTTCAAGCAAAGTAGAAAATGTAGAACCCATTTGCTAAATCATGTTGATTTGCCAGGAACCATTACTTGAATCAAAGGGGTAATATTTGCAAGTAAAAGTTGTTATTGACCATGTTGTCAGGGCAAACCTGGTCAATCTTGCAACACGCATTTGCAAATGGTAGTTTGTGGTGAGCAAGAACTAACGTCTTTACCCCACATGCCAGTTTAATAGTACCAGAGCCTCCTTCACCCATGGTTCACCACACTGAAATTGTTGATGCTTGAAACTTGAAACCATCTAGAATCCAATTGGGAGTACTATCGCGCCATACCAGTTGTAATGCTGTTTCAATCCAGGAAAGGGTGTATCAAACAGCAACATAAATACACACCCTGTCCCGATGCAGCTTTTGCCAAAGGCACCATACAACGCTGCGAATACTTCGGCGATACCCATAAGTTGTGGGATCCAGAAAAAAAGTTCCCCAAACAAAACCCATGTGGCTGATAGCCTTTGCGGGTGAGTTGGGGGATGTTGTTAGCAGGCCTTTGCCATATGGCATTTTAGACACCTCAGAGGACACCCAAGTCGGGGATTTCCCCCAAAAGTCCGGACTGGTTGTGTGCCTGAACTTTTCTCTATTTGTCCAAGTCTGTCGGGGGAGCCTGGGGAGTTTCTTCGGGAGCCTGCCAGCCTAACCCTCCTAATGTAAATATGAAAGGAACCGATTTCCTAAATCCCAGAAACTATTTCTTAAATCCTAGAAACTATTTCTTAAGTCCTAGAAACTACTTCTTAAATCCTGGAAACTATTTCTTAAATTCCCAGAAACTGTTTCTTAAATCCTTGAAACTATTTCTTAAATCTTAGAAACTACTTCTTAAATCCTGGAACTATTTCTTAAATCCCAGAAACTATTTCTTAAATCCTAGAAACTATTTATCAATCTAGGCCCCAAACCCAGAAACCATTTACAAAACCAGGTTTGTTTTTACCAATCCCAACCATTGCACAAGAATAGCAGTCAATCACTTGAAGTCCAGAGATTGCCCCAGACAAGTGAACCATGTTCCCACCAAGAGAGAAAGGCTGCCTGTTGGTGCAGGCATTCTTTATTCTCTTTTGTGCTATGTTCTTGGACTCCTCATCTCAGAATCAGGCACTGTTTCTTTCTTAGTTAAGAGTTTCAATATACCATAATGTATGTGTATATTTGTCAACTTAAGTTACGTATATTATCTTTATTAGTATATTGTCTTGTTTGATTTAAGGCAGAGTAAGGGTCGTTTCCTACTATTTGCAAATACATAGTTTCAAACAGTTTCAAATAGTTTCCGAGAATGGCTAATTAGCCAATAGTCCGAAACCGTTTGGAACCGTTTCCCGCTACTTGCTAAGTAATAGTCCGAAGCCGTTTCAAACCGTTTCAAACCAATCCCTAGAAGGCCTAACTTGCACTACTTCTTCAGTTTTTTTAAGTTAATGTATAATTTATTGGATATTGTTTCAAAAGTTTCTTAAAATTTGATTTATTTAGGAAATAGTTTCTGTAAATTGGGCTTATTTAAGAAATAGTTTCTACAAATTGGGTTAATTGAAAAAATGGTTTCTGTAAATGGGGTTATTTAAGAAATAGTTTGAATTAGTTTCCCAGCTTAGGGTTGATTTAGGAAATAGTTTCTGTAAATTAGGTTTATTTATTTAAGAAATAGCTTCCGGCCCCCACAGACAAAGAAGCCAAGGCGCTCCCCAAGTTATATGTGTATATATCGGTTTTTGCAATGGTGGACCTATTCTTTTTTGTAAACCGACAAACATGACTGGGGGGGCGCGCCACGCATTTGGAGTTGGAGTAAGCATTTTGAGCCTTGGCTTCTGAAGGGAGAAAACTCCTTCCGGAACGAGGTTGGCAAGTGGACAAAAATCCCCACGCAATGTTCTGCGATATTTGCGCATATCATGTCTAAATGAACAAAACACACCCACACCCACACACACACATACATATATATATATTTATACATACACGTATATAAATCATATCTACACACATGAAAAAATATATGTGTATGTATATACACATGTATCTATACATACATCACACATATATGTCAGACACACACACACATGTATGTATATATATATATTATATCACATACCTATACACAATATTTCAATTCTGATCAAACATTTGATCTTCTTCCCATTGCGAGTGTTGTGGCTAGAGATCACCAATCCGTACTGCGGCGGCTGTATCCGACCCGTGCCCAAACATGGTGTTTTTGCAGTGTACGTGTAAAATCTAGCGGTTGATCATCATGTTCCCCATGAAAATTGCCAAAAAATTGGGGTAAACTTCCATTCCCAGTGTAATCCACTATATCCTCCTCATATCTGCAGCATATCCCATCATGGTTGGTTAGCATCCCCATTCTTCACCAATTTGTTGGACAACTATTGACCGGGTGTGCCAATTTTTTGATGGTTACTGTATATCTTCAATTCTTGGACAAACCCACCCATGTTGTCGGTGAGACACCATCATATTCCAGTTGTTTGACACACATTAACACAAACTCATCATTGACTGAACCTTGATTAAATTACTATGTTGGTTGGTGAAATCCATCAATTTTTGATGCTTAAATCCACATTTTTCTGGGTTTACCTTCGCCTTTTCCCAAGGTTTGTTAGTTCAGTCCCACGTTTTTCTTGGTTTAATCCCCAAATTTGGTGGTTAAGTCCACATTTTTGTCGGTTAAATGCAGTTTTTCGTTGGATTTCGCCCTTTCTTTGGTCTCCTCAGCTGCTTTCTGCCAGATCCGCAGCTCCCTGCGAGAGCGCCAGCACCGCCATCTCCAGGGCTCAGCTGGCACGGCAGGAGTTGGAGCTGTGCGTCGGGGAACCAAGCAATGTGTATATATAAATATATGTATGTATGTAAATATATATATATTTAATATGTGTTTATATAATGTATAAATAAAGGTAAGTATTTGAAATATGTAAATATAAAATATGTATATATACATAAATATATATAACATATATATATGTATGTACATACGAATATGTATATACAATATGTTTATATAAAGATTATATATAATATGTATATATACGTATATATATAATATGTAAAAATAAAATATGTACCTATATATATAATTTGTAAAGGAAAATTGTACATATATATGTATATATAAATAATATATATATATATATGTAAATAACATGTATATTTGTATTTACTTACAATATCAAATATATATGAGTATATACAGATATATGTATATATATAATATGTATATATATAATATGTATATATATAATATGTATATATATAATATGTATATATATATAATATGTATATATGTAATATGTATATATATATGTATACAAAGATGTAAACAAAATGTAACTATATATATATATACACCTATAATATGTAAATATACATGGGTATTTTCATTATTATAAATATATATCAACATATGTATTTAAATAATCGCAAATAAATATATGTATATGTACAAAATGTATTTATATGTAAATATATGGTAGGTGTTTTCGTCAATGTAAATATAAAGTATGTAACAATATATTTATGCATGTATAAAGTATGTATGTCTATATATGTAAATATATGTACACATATGTATATTTATGTACATATATGTGTATTTACATGTAGATATACAATATGTATCTATATAAATATACATGTAACTATATGCATATATATATATGTAAATATATGTATGTATGTAAAAATATAATATGTAAATATTTCATATGTATACATTTAATATATGTGTATACATATGTATATATTAGATTTATTATATATATAGTATGTATATATATAATTTGAATTTTTGTATGTATTTATACTTGTATATATATCTGTAATTATTTTAAATATATATATGTGTGTTTTTTGTATATATATATAATGTTTTTTTTGTATTTACATTCAATTTTATGTATATATAGAATATATATATATTGATATGTAGGTATATGATATATATATATATATATTATTTTTAAAGATATATATATATATCTAATTTGTACACTTATATTTGTAAACATATATATTTGTATTTATATACTGTGTATACATATATGTATATTTATATAATATGTATCTATATATGTATTTAAATGTATGTAAAAATGTGCATATATTCATATGTATATATAGTATGAATATGTATTTATTTATTCGTACACTATGTATATATATCCTCAAAAGGTATATATGTATATATGGATATATATAATTAGCATATATATATATATAGAAATATTCAGTATGTATTTATATGTAAAAGTAAAATTCATATTTGTATATCAATAAAATGATTTGTATATATAAATGAATATTTATATTTATATTTACTATGTATATATATATATCAATGTAAATATATAATAGCTATTTTTACTAGGTGTACATATTTTTTTTTAAAATATATATATACATATATATGTGTTTTTTTTTTAAAGTATATATTTTACTTATATTTGTATACAAATAAAACATATATATATATGTATTTAAATAATATGTGGATATATATATGTATATATATATTGACAATATGTATATATATTTTTTACTATGTACATATCTATTTGTATATATATATATATGTAAATATATGTATATATATATATGTATATTTATATATGCATATAAAAATGTATAGATAGTATACTTATTTGAGATTCTTGTAATTGAATATATTTATATATATATATGAAGCCTTTCTACTAGTAGCGTACAAGAATCACTAGTTTTGCTTCTGACATGACACTCGTCCTGTATATAAACATTTTGACACACACACACACATATATATATGTTCGGATAAGTTATAACTATCCAAAAGCCCCAAAAGTTATATATATATATATATGCAGTGTTGCCATGGAAGTTGATTTTATTTACCCCCAAACAGCCTTATTTTAGATTAGTGCCTTCTTATAACTTCTCCACACACACACATATATATATATGCAATTACCATGGAAGTTTGTTAGAGAAATCACCATAAAACAGGGGATTTTCTCAATAAACATGGTGGTGTAACGGGGATATGGGATGGGATATAGTGGATGATGATGATGACGATGATGATGATGTTGATGTTGATGTTGTTCATGATGATGATGATGGTGATGATGATGGTGATGATGATGACGATGATATGTATATATATAGATAAATAAATATGCGATGGGAATGCAATGGGGAATACATCTACACAATTGTGAGTATACTCGGGTATTTAATTGTAGTATATATCTGCATTATAATGACCTGTTAACTATCGCTACATAGAATATGTAGAATATAAATACATTTGATATATGGTGAGTATAACTACAGGTAGTAATATTGGAATACGAATATTGTATATGTGTACGTTTAGCAGCCCCAAAATAGATAGAAAAGTTGGAAACCTGGATGGAGGAGGCGTTTTTATCACCGAACTACCATCCTGGAAACCCTTTTTGGCATCTTTTTATGATACATGATAAATAAACTATAGATAGTAGTTTGGGGATATTGATAATATATTTTATAGCGTATAATATATATATATATGCACGTGGGAGATAGAGTAGTGAAATAACAATATGGGGTTGGTTTATATCAAAAGCTGTGGGACGGACCTTAACATTTAGGGCACTGATGATCAAGAATATTCCCGCATTTTATCCTATTCGCCGTTTTTCTTAATGACACTGTAATCTTTGATTAGATTGGAACAAGATGGAACATAATCTGAATAACTATATTGACTCCTGACTAAATATCTACAGTATACACATATGTAAATATATATATATAATATATATATATATATACACCTAAACACATATATGCATATACATGCATACGCACATATATGTATATGTCTATAAACACATGCAGGTATACATGTGTAAATGTATATACCAATATATATATATATTTATTTTTATATACACATGTAAATGTATGTGTGTATATGTAAATATGCATATATATGTATATATGTAAATATGTAAATATGTATATATATATGTATAAATGTAAATATATATATATGTATATATGTAAATATATATATGTATATATATGTATACATGTATATATATATATGTATATATATATGTACATGTATATGTATATGTATATGTATATGTATATGTATATGTATATGTATATGTATATGTATATGTATATCTATCTATCTATCCATCTATCTATCTATCTTTCTATCTATCTATCTATCTACCTATCTATCTATCTATCTATCTTTCTATCTATCTATCTATCTATCTACCTATCTATCTATCTATCTATCTATAAATATCTATCTATATTTATATATACATAAGCTATTTACATATATGTATGCAGAACATCCGGTCAGTTTTTCCATGGGAAGATCATCCGTGCACTCAGGTGGAAATTCTACAGTCCTACGCACGAGAAACGTCCTCCGACTGTCGCGAGCCAAAGGCCTCAGGAGGCAACAGGGATACCCGCAGAACGTTTCAGAGTTTGTTCAAAAAATGGGAATGCCTGAGAATGGGGACATCCAAAAATGGTCCTTCGTTCACAGAAAATGATAAGCAACTTGTTTTTATGGGTACCACATTTTCAGACAAACCCAAATCCAAAAATGGGATGCCCGCAAGGTTGCACCATTCGGATCCACTTGCGAGGCCAAGAAGAGTTTTTGGTGAGACGCTTTGATCCCCAATGCCTATTAGCTAAAACCATTGTGATATTCCAGCTGGGAATCAAAGGTGGTTGGCTGGAAAACCCACCAGTTATAGATGATTTTCGCGATTTCCCAGCGGCCCGCCATGTTTCATTCCCACAAGCCCTTGAGTTCAACCAAGGCGCCGGGCCTTTCTTAACTCCACCGCCAGCACTGCCGCAGTGTCCATCCAGAAGTTGAGTGAGGTGGTGCAGAGGCGGGGCCGGGGCAGCGGTGAACTTCGGCCGGGCTTCGGGCGCCGGGGCTGGAGGTTTTCACCCGAAAACATTTGACTTGGCAATGGGAAACCCCCGAACGAAATCGAAGTTCATAGCTGGGAACATCATCAAACTAAATCGGGATTTTCCGGCAAGCCATGTTTGAGTAGCAAAGGCTAGGACTTAGGAATATCTGAGAAAGGAGGATTTCGACCAACAAAAATGAGGAATTCCATCGCCCAAATTGGTGGGTTTCATGAATAGAGAGATGGGGAGTTCAACCAAATGGGAATATAGGCTTCAATTTGAAAAAATTGAGACGAAAACCCAACATGTAGTCATGTGTATTTTGAAAGTGATCCTAATCCATGTCCATATGGCTTTGTGTTAGTTTGGATCTTAACTAGTGACCAACGAATCGTGAGATCATCCATCAAAATTGGATCATTGGGGTTTAAATGGTGATGACTTCTGCATTTTTGCATATTGTTGGCTGATAGAATCTGACAACTTTGCATTTGTGTGGCCAAGACCACCGAAAATCACCAAACATGTTTGCAAAAGTGCAAGCAACATCTTTTTTGTTGGTTCATCACCATTACCAAGGGAAGTTTAGAAGACTATACTTCCGCGTTACGGACCCCACAGCCAAGAGATCTCAGAGCAAAGAATTCTCACAGTAAAGAGATCTCTCACAGCCAAGAGATCTCACAGCAAAGACGTCTCAGAGCAAAGAAGTCTCACAGCAAAGAGATCTCACAGAAAAGAAATTTCACAGCAAAGAGATCTCAAAGCAAAGAAGTCTCACAGCAACGAGATCTCACAGCAAAGAGATCTCACAGCAAAGTGATCTCACAGCAAAGATATCTCACAGCAAAGAAGTCGCACGGCACAGAAGTCTCACAGCACACAAGTCTTACAGCAAAGAAGTCCCACAGCGAAGAGATCTCACAGCAAAGAAGTCTGAAAGCAAAGAAGTCTTACGGCAAAGAGATCTCACAGCAAAGAGATCTCACAGCAAAGAAGTTTCACAGCAAAGAGATCTCACAGCAAAGAAATCTCACAGCAAAGAGGTCTCACAGCAAAGAAGTCTCACAGCAAAGAGATCTCACAGCAAAGAGGTCTCGCAAAGCGATCTCAGAGCAAAGAGATCTCACAGTAAAGTGATCTCACAGCAAAGAAGTCTCACAGCAAAGAGATCTCACAGCAAAGAGATTTTTCACAGCAAAGAAGTGTCACAGCAAAGAGATCTCACAGCAAAGAGATCTCACAGCAAAGAGATCTCACAGCAAAGAGCAAAGGAGTCTCACAGCAAAGAAGTCTCACAGCAAAGGCAGCAAAGAGATCTCACAGCAAGAGATCTCACAGCAAAGAGGTCCCGCAGCAAAGAGATCTCACAGCAAAGAAGTCACACAGCAAGGAAGTCTGGCACGAAAGCTTCGTTTTCACATCTTCAACTTTCAGTTTTTGAGGGAAGTCTCGCACGAAATGCGTTTTTGAGCCTGATGCGCGGGATGCTGTGTTTTGCAGCACAATATGTGCCTTGGAAGATGGATGGCCAGGGTCTGAGCGACGGGTGCGAAACGGTCTCGGGTGTCCCTGGATCATGGTTGAATCGGCCCCGCACTGTAACTGCCGCTTCAGGCGTCGGTTTGCCAAGTTGGAGTGCTTCGTTTGGAAGTCTCGCATGAAAGCATCGTTTGCCCATTTTCAACTTTCAGTTTTTCAAGGACGTCTCGCACGAGAGCTTCATTTTTGCAGCTCCAACTTTCAGTTTTTGAGGGTAGTCTCGCACGAAAGCTTCGTTTTCACATCTTCAACTTTCAGCTTTTGAGGGATGCGTCACACGAAAGCTTCGTTTTCACAACTTCAACTTTCACTTTTTGAGGGACGTCTCACACGAAAGCTTCGTTTTCACAAGTTGAAGTTGCAGTGCACTTGCGACAAGGTTGCGCAATGAGTTTATGGTGATTGTATCGTTTTTGGCGTTTGTCATTTTCCTTGTAAAATTCCGTTTAAAAAGTAGGCATCAAAATCAATTTTGTCCGGCTTTGGCACAGGGACCCGGTTTTGGAGCAGGTTTTGGCCAGGAGAAGATTCTTTTAGCTCCTGCAACCTGCTGATTGCAAATTTCATTGGAGTGGCTGCGTCGCAGTTGCTCTGCACTGCTGTTGCGCACATAGTTCCATGATCTTTTGCAGGTTGCTGCTTGCAAGTCGCATTGAAGTGGCTGTATCAATGTTGCTCTATGTTGCTACAGCGCATGTAGTTCCATGGTCTTTTACAACTTGCCGCTTGCAAATCGCATTGCGATGTGGAATGGTTGCGCCAAAGTTGCGCCGATGAGTCATTGATGGTTTTTCTCGTTTTTGGAGCTTTCCATTTTCCTTTAGCATTTGCCTTTCAAAAGGGTTCAAAATCGTACGTTGTGTGGCTTTGGCGCCGGGATCCGGTTTTGGAGCAGGTTTTTGGGCCAGTGAGCTGAGAAGAGCTGAGATGAGGTGAGAAGAGCTGAGATCAGCTGAGAAGATGTGAGAAGATGTGAGAAGAGCTGAGAAGAGCTTTGCAGATGTGGGAAGAGAAGAGATGAGAAGACATGAGATGGGCTGACATGAGCTGCGAAGAGCTAAGAAGAGCTGAGATAAGCTGAGGTGAGATGAGATGGGATGAGTTGAGAGGACCTGACATGAGAAGAGCGGTGAAGAAGGGAGTTGAGACAAGCTGCATAGAATGAAGGGAAGCTGAGGGGAGCTGAAAAGAGAAAAAATCAGATGAGCTGAGAAGAGATGAGAAAAGCTCAGATGACATGAGAAGAGATGAGAGCAGTTGTGATATGTTGCGGTATGTTGTGATCAACTGAGAAGAGCTGAGATGAGGAGAGAAGACATGAGATGAGATGAGATAGGACGCCAGACTGCGGTGACAATGGGATGCAATGAGCAAATTCCAAGAGAAGCTGCGATGCGATGAGATCAGGTGAGATGAGAAAAGATCCAACCTGCACAAGACATGGCACCGGAATGAACAGTCAAGAGATTGTTGCTGCCATGCACAGAAGGCTTGGCCGCACCCTATAGGCGCAGTCTTTGTTCCACGGTATATAAGTTACAAGCGCTTCAATTTTGAAACTTTCGTCCCCGGCTTGCCCGGACTACTCGTATGTATGCAATGTAATGTAAAGCCATGTAATGACAAGTAAAAATGTAATGTATTGTAATGTAATGTAACATAATGCAATGCAAGGTGTATAAATGTATATGTCAGTGTGTATGTGTGTATGTGTGTATGTATGTATGCATGTATGTATGTATGTATGTATGCATGGATGTATGTATGTATGCATGTATGTATGTATGTATGTATGCATGCATGCATGTATGTGTGCATGTGTGCATGTATGCATGTATGCATGTATGCATGTATGCATGTATGCATGTATGCATGAATGTGTGTATGTATGTATGTATGTCTGTATGTATGTATGTAATGTAATGTAATGTAATGTAAGTGTAATGTAATGTAATGTAATGTATGTATGTATGTATGTATGTATGTATGTATGTATGTAATGTATGAATGTATGTATGTATGTATGCATGTATGTATGTATGTATGAATGATATGTAATGTAATGTAATGCAATGCAATGCAATGTAATGTAATGTAACGTAATGTAATGTAATGTATGTATGTATGTATGTATGTAATGTATGTATGTATGTATGTATGTATGGAATGTATGTAATGTATGTAATGTATGTAGTGTATGTAAGTGTGTATGTATGTATGCATGTATGCATGTATGCATGTATGCATGTATGCATGTATGCATGTATGCATGTATGCATGTATGCATGTATGTATGTATGTATGTATGTATGTATGTAATGTTAGTTATGTATGTATGTAATGTTAGTCATGTATGTATGTATGTATGTATGTATAAATGTATGTATGTATGTATGTATCTATGTATGTATGTATGTTATGTATGTTATGTATGTAATGTATGTAATGTATGTAATGTATGTAATGTATGTAATGTATGTACTGTGTGTAATGTCTGTAATGTATGTAACGCATGTAATGTATGTAACGCATGTAATGTATGTATGTAATGTATTGTAGTGTAATGTAATGTATGTAATGTATGTAATGTATGTAATGCAAATAATGTATGTAATGTATGTAATGTATGTAACGTATGTAATGTATGTAATGTATGTAACGTATGTAATGTATGGAATGTATGTAATGTATGTAATGTATGTAATGCATGTAATGTATGTAATGTGTGTAATGTCTGTAATGTATGTGACGCATGTAATGTATGTACTGTATGTAATGTATGTATGTAATGTATTGTAGTGTAATGTAATGTTTGTAATGTAATGTAATGTAATGTAATGTAATGAATGTAATGTATGTAACGTATGTGACGTATGTAATGTATGTAATGTATGTAATGTATGTAATGTATGTAGTGTATGTAGTGTATGTAATGTATGTCATGTATGTAATGTATGTAATGTATGTAATTTATGTAATGTATGTAATGTATGTAATGTATGTAACGTATGCAATGTATGTATGTAAGTAATGTATGTAATGTATGCAATGTATGTAATGTATGTATGTATGTAAGTATGTATGCATGTATGTATGTATGTATCTATTTCTGTATGTATGTATGTTTCTATGTATGTATGTATGTATGCATGCTTGGATGGATGGATGGATGTATGCATGCATGCATGTAATGTATGTATGTATGCATGCATGCATGCATACATGTAATGTAATGTAATGTAATGCTGTAATGTAATGCAATGTAATGTAATGTATGTATGTAATGTAATGTATGTATGGAATGGAATGTATTGGTATGTATGTATGTATGTCTGTATGTAAATGTTTGTAATGAAATTTTATGTAATGTAATGCAACGCAATGCATTGCAGTGCAATGCAATGTCATGTATGTTTGTAAGTAATGTATGTATGTAATGTACTGTAATGTACTGTACTTACTGTAATGTGATGCATTGTAATGTAATGGTATGTAGGTATGTTCTGTGTGTTATGTGTGTAATGTATGTTATGCATGTTATGTATGCTATGTATGCTATGTATGTTATGTATGTTATGTATGTTATGCACGTTCTGTATGCTATGTAATGTATGTTATGTATGCTGTGTATGTTATGCATGTAATGTTTGTAATGCATGTTATGTATGTAATGTATGTTATGTATGCTTTGTATGTAATGTATGTACTGCATGCAATGTATATTATGCGTATTATGTATGTTATGTATGTTATGTATGTAATGTATGTTATGCATGTTATGTATGCAATGTAATGTAACGTAACGTAATGTAATGTAATGAAATGTCATGTAGTGTAATGTAATGTAATTTTAATGTAATATATTTACATATTCCTAGTATCTCCTATTATACCACCATTTTTGTTGATTACAACAAATTTCCCATCATATGCTTTTGGTATATCCCATATACAATACCCATATACTTATTCTTTCCCAATGATTCCATATAGTAATTCTCAGTTTCCCTTGCTTTTGTCCATGCGCCGCATGTTGCTTTACCTTTCGACTGCCTTATCCCAGGCAGTCCGAGGAGGCGTTGGATGCTGAACGCCGCATAGGCGAGCTGAAGGTGCGAGTTATGGGGAAGTGGGGGTTGCAAGTTGCAAACCCCAAAGGGATAAGTCATGATAAGTTGGCCTGGGAATTATATGGAATTATGAGGTATAACTAAATATCCGTTATTTTTTTTGAAGATACGCATTATTTGTTTTAGGCCCCCTAGAACAAGAATTGATGTGTTAATAACCAAAATTACAGATTCTAAGCCGCCAAAGTGAGGAACATCAACTGTGCTCCCAGCAGCACACAGGAAATAGCAACAAGAAAAACGTGGGCGTAGCAAGCAACATGGAATTGAAACAACAGCAGTTGGAACATCACAGTACCGTTCATGAAAAACACTGGGCATAGTTGGGGATGTAACCTCACTTATCCTGCTTCTCTATAGCCCCACTCATTCACAATCACAACTTTGGGTTAGTTATACCCCGGTTCTAGTGTGCCGTGTTCCCATGATTGTTGCTTATCCTATTTGGTGCTCAATTCCTTATTTTAGTTGTATTAGAACCCGTGTTTCCCTAGTTTCGCCCAAGATGATTCTATAGCCCCCGTTCAATTCACCAGAACTGCGGAATCTACTGGGAATAATCAAGACATGGCAATGGAAAGTATTTTTTCATGGGTAAATCATCGAACTCAATGGGCCATTTTCCGTACCAGAGAGTACATGGCATGACATTACCTGACAGGACTGGGCATACAATTTGCCGAACTAAATGGGTGATTTTCCAACACGCCATGTTTGACTACCAGAGGGTGATTCATGATAAGTATAAGGACAATGGGGACTTAAACCACAGACAAATGATGGCTAAACGATTTTTCCAGTTGTATCCCATGTTTGATGATTGGTTATATCCCCACTACATTCGCATTGTATCCCCATCACGGTGGTAAAATACCGGAAATTCTTACTTTCTATGGCCCCCTTTGGCGCAACTCCAACACCCCAGGCGAAAATCACGGAGTTGGAAGAAGATACCGATGGGCTACGCCGTGTGGTGCGGGGACATGAAAACATGGGAAACTGAGCAGATAGGGCTGGAAAGTGGTGAAAATTAGTCACTGAGTATGGAGGCAATCATTTGCTATTTTCATCCCAACGACACATGTTTTTCAGAGGAACCAGATGCATACTGTACTGTATGTACTCTGTACTTGTCCTGGTGTAGATCGCGTATGTACAGAAATGGACCATACTCTGTGCCTCAACATCAACATTTAGGATGCATATGTCGTTCCAGAATGATTTGTGGTTCTGAGAGTACAAAGAGAGTTATGCTTATATAAAAACATACATACATATATATACAATAATACACATGCATATACATGTACATGTAAATATACATGTCCATGTATATATACATATACATATCCATATGCACATGCATCAGCATGCATACGTATATACGTATACACATATATATATATATACAAATAAACATATATATATATATACATACATACATACATGCATACATACATACATACAAACATGCATACATACATACATACATACATACATACATACATACACATATACATACATACATACATTACATTACATTACATTACATTACATTACATACATACATACACACATACACACATACATACATACATACATACATACACGCATACATACATACATACATACATACATGCATACATACATTCACATACATACATACATACATGCATACATACATTCATAAATACATATATACGTATATACACATATACAGACTTACATATATACATATATATATAGACACATTTACAAATACAAATATGCAAATATGTAAATGTACAAATATACAAATATACAACTATACGAATATACAAATTTACAAATATACACATATACAAATATTCAATCATACAACTACACATATATACATATATACATATATACATATACACATATATACATATATACACACATACACATATACATATGTACACGTATACATATATACATATATACACATATACATATATACATAAATACATGTATCCATATAAACATATATACTACAGATATACCGATTTTTTTTTCATATATACTAATATACATTTATACATATTTGCCTACATACAAACACATATACGTATACACATAAATTCATATGTACATATGTACATACATATATACGTATATTCATATATACATCATATAAGCGTATATACATATATACATATATGCATATATACATATACACATATACATACATACATACATCCATACATCCATACACCCATACATCCATACATGCATACATGCATACAAGCACACATGCATACAAGCATACATGCATACATGCATACATGCATGCATACATGCATGCATACGTGCATACATGCATACATGCATACATGCATACATGCATACATACATTACATACATAACATACATTACATACATTACATACATTACATGCATTACTTACATTACATACATTACATTCATTACATGCATTACACTCATTACATACATTACATACATTACATACATTACATACATACATGCATGCATGCATGCATACATGCATACATGCATACATGCATACATGCATACATGCATACATGCATACATGCATACATGCATACATGCATACATGCATACATGCATAGATGCATAGATGCAAACATGCATACATGCATACATGCATGCATGCATACATACATTACATACATTACATACATTACATACATTACATACATTACATACATTACATACATTACATACATTACATACATTACATACATTACATACATTACATACATACATACATACATACATACATACCTACATACATATACATAGATATACATATATTTGCATATATTTACATATATTTGCATATATTTACATATATTTGCATATATTTACATATATTTACATATATACATATATACATATATACGTATATACGTATATACGTATTTACGTATGCATATATATATATATATACATATTTACAAATGTGTATATATATATATATATACATATATACATATTTACATATTTACATTTATACATACTTAAAGTTGTAGATACGTGTATATATGTAAATTTATATATATATATACACATGTAAACGAATATATGTGCATGCACACATGTTTTGTGCATGTTGAGTTTGGTGGTGTGCTTCAACATGATGCGAAACCCTGCTTGATGCTTCTAGTGCTCACATATAGATCGTAAGCCTAAAGAGCGGATTCAGCAGACATCCCGCAGCATTTGGTCGGGTTTTCTCTTTTTGAATTGGTCTGCACCTACGGACCAATACAGAAAAAAACAACATTGTAGATAATCTGCACTTGGACTGTTGCTCTTGGTTTGTTCCCAGGGTTGTAGACCCCAATTACTTTATATTTACATCCATGTTTTATTTGGACACAAACCCGAAATCAGCAAAATGTTATTTCCGCGTCAAATCAATGTCGGCATTGGAAGGCTTCTATTTCAACCAACGTTCCGTGGTGGTTTCCAGTACCAGTAGTCCCGGAGTGTGTGAAGGGAGTGCCGGGATTCCAAGCCACCAACCCAAACCACCAATTGCCCAGTTAGACATCCCTTTTGTTGGTTAACCCCTTTGTGATTCTTATTTCCTGTTTTCATTCGACGTGATCCAATGTGAATCCTTGCTTTTTTGTCCAAATCTGCTGTATCCTGTGTTCTGCCCAATTTTGCTGGTTTTCTCCACAGCCAGGTGCAACAGATGTTGAAAGATGAGGCTGGAGAACTAGGTGTTGGATTGATGTTGTTGATACAAAATCAATGTGCCAAGTGGCAATAGATGGGTGTGTTTGAATGAAAAGGGGTATATATTAGCATGTCTCTCTATCATGTTGTTGGGCTATCTCTTTTGAAACTGTTTTGCAATTATTGCCCCCAAGTTTGGGGAAATATTTCCCCCAAGTTTGGGGATGTTTTGTCCCCTTTGGTGAATTATTGTTCCCAATTTTTGGGAATTGACAACATTCCAAAAAATGGGGACAAAAAATCCAAAAAAAATGGGACAAACAATCCCCAAAGTTGGGGACAAAAATTCCCCAAAGGGGACAACAAATCCCCAAACTTGGGGACGATTATTGCCCAAACTTGAGGACAATACTTACCAAACTTAGGCCAAACTTGGGGACAAGAAATAAACACTTAGGGACAATAATTACCCAAACTTGGACAAAATAACTCTAAGGAAAACGTGGCAGAGCGCCATGCTAAGGTATATGCAATGGCAGTTTTTAGAAACTGATGATAAGCCATGGGAATTATATAGGGAGTATCCTATTTTCAGACAAACCCAGATGAGTAGGACATCGCGGCTTCGAACTTGTGACAAAGTATTTATCAACAGCTGATTGTGTAGAAACACCCAGAACCAAGACATATTTATGACGTGCCTAAGAACTCAGCCATTGGAGAACTTGGACCACCCCCTGCCATCAACCATCATCAACCCATCCCTTTGGGGATGGTTTATGTACCTTTCATTTATAGTAATCTTGGGCATGGTTCAGAATTTACAATTTCGTTGAACATTTTTTTTAAACACACATCATACACTGTCATACACTAAGCATCAAAACCACAGGAATCGACTCCGGGATTTTTTTGTGCTGGGACAAGTGGTGACCGTCCTGGAAGCCGTTTTTTTCAAGGCGTGGGTCTCGCCCAGGCAGAATTGCGAAAGCAGAATGAGGAGACGGTGGCTGAGGCTGGGTCAGCAGCTTGACTCTTTCCCAGATGGCTGGGTACCGATTTTCCCATCGAAACAGACTTAGACATTTAGTTCGGAAGATGAGACCTGATCCCCAACTCAACAGATGCCTTGAAACTGCCGAAGACCTGACAGGTTTGGCCGATTTTGACTGGCAGCAAAAACCAAGCTTCGCTGGTGTTTCCTGTAAAATTTCCCTTGAACCAGTGGAATCTGAAAATTGGTGCTTTACAAAATGTTTCCGCGAAACATTCTGCTTTACTGATTGTCTGTTGATTTTCTGACTTCTGTTTTTGTTGTTTCTATGGGCCCAGTTTGAAGCCATTGTTTTTCCGTAACGAAGCCTTCACAGTGATGGCAGCAATGTGGATCCTGGAGAGGTCCAATGGAGAGCCTGATGTGCACTGATTCCAGTGACTCATGGATCCAAATGGTATAATTCAATATAATTCATGTTCGGGGGCTCTCAATCAGTGGATAAGCTATGATTCTATGATAAACTATCATCATTTAGATTTCGTCAGGTCAATGAGAGGCAGCAGCAATTGACCGAGGACGGGCCACGGGTCTCTCGTGGCTTTCACCTTTGGGTGACCGATTTGCCATGAAGGATATATGGATGGATATGGCGAATTTACTCATTACCCAACAGAAATTTAATTGTTTGTTGCAAGGTATGGAATCTTGAGGAATCTTTTTGGGATGGGGTTAAAAAAGCAGGTAGCAAACTTGCTGGGTGAGCTGGGCATGGGTATTCATGGGCTCAGGGGAGTGTTTTCATGGCCACGGCTCAACCGTTGTGCCAATAGCAGAAGTCTGTGCCACTGGCAGCCATGGTATTCAATAGCAGACCTCAATCATCAACGATCGGACATAAAAAAAAAGCGTGCTACAAAAAGATCTTCCACAAGTTTTCTATTTCAGGCATTTGAGTTTCAAAAGGATTGTTGAAAAAGAATTGCTGATTCGGGACTAAATCTACAAAGAGATTTTGGGCTGGGTAGTGTAATACAATCACCAACCAGTTTCTGTTTCCCCTATGATTCTTATATACTTCTATTTTTCATCCACACGTTTGTTGCAAAAACACCCCCACCGCACTAAACCTCCTGTTCGATAGGTAGGTTCACCAGTAGCCAGTTGGAAGTTGCCAGTCCTGTCGCAGTTTCGCGAGGCGGAACATCGCTCGGATCACCTCTCAGTTCAATTGCACAAGGCACGGCGATGCGAACTGAGAGAAGATGGCCATGGGTTAAATATGGTTTACCATCATTAACCATCAATGTATGGTAACTTAATATGATCTAATGGGACACTAAGAATCTGAGATTTGGATCTGAAAATGGGGGATTAACCCTCCAAGCAATTTACAAAGGGATAATTAATCAATGGAGTTACAGGTACCCCATTTTCAGACAAACCCATATGAACATCCACATGTGTAATGTGGAATTCTATTGATTTCAGCGAATGTGTAGGTGTGTATCTCCATCTTCATGCAGTGCTTGTGTATATATATATAAATATATACATATATATATATATGTATATATATATATCACATCCATAAATCACAGCTATTTTGGTGTGAAAACCAGGGCCTTTTAGGGTGAACTGAAGCATATCGATACCTGGGAACCTCAATATTTCTTCGGTCATATGCCATATTACTAGTAATGATATGTTTTTATAGTCGAATTTCCATCTTCGCATGTTTTTTCCCGTATTGACTGAAAAAAATCGTCAACAGGGGGTATGTGCCTGTTTCATCTTTACTGAAAATAAGTAGCATTTGATGGAAAAAACATGTCAATTTGATTGACTTTGGGCCAAAGTTGGCCCAAAGAATTCACCAGAAAAATTCCGAAAAATATTGATAAAAACCCAATACAAACCCAAAGGTTTTTTTCGACTTCGCGCGCGTTAACAGACCGTATTTGGGTTCTTCAGATCGGGTCTTCAATCGAACCAACAAAGCCGTAATGACAAAAAAAAACGTGTCAACCCCGAACGATGGAAAAAAAACTGGCTTTTGGGTTCCCAGGTATATATATATATATTATATGTATATATATGATGTACAATGACGCCCTCTGGCAATTGAACATTGCTATGGAAAATCACCACTTTTCAAAAGATAAATCATCGAACTAAAGGGGCCATGGCTTTCCATAGCAAACTGTGAGAAACTGGCAAAAGGTCCATACACATATCTGGCCATTGTAAAATTCTACTCAAATAGTGTTCTTTATCGTTTTTTTTGGGTGGGGCTGGGGGCTTACGACACCCACACACACATATATATATATACACATGTATCCACACAAAGGTTGTCATACATACTACAGTACAACACACATATATATATATCTGTATCTATACACATGATCTTTTTTTTTGGTCTTTCTCATATATATATATGACATACGGTGGTAGTAACAAAAAAGGTGAAACACGATATTTGATACAATGCTTGGATAATAACTTCTATGTAATATGGATAAGTATATGATATATACTACAAAGTACATGGATGATATATGGACTATGTTTAATATTATTTGCGATTATTTTTTTGTAATATTGATAAATAGATTTAGGGTAAACCCAATAAAAACTATTGTACCCAAAACGCCAAAAAATGGGTTCTGCAAACCATCCTCGAATGGTAGGTTTATTATTGGGTTTCCCACACTACATAAATTAATCATCCAAATATTCGATAATGTTTCATCTTTTTCGTCATTACATCATTTTGGGGATAATTTATTTGTTTTAACCAGTTTACCACATCAATATATATATAGATACATATAAACATACATATACATATGCATATCTATGTACATGTCTCCATTCCATGTCATTGAACATCATTGAACACATATTAGTCATTACATGACATCCACTAAAGATATTATGTAGTACAATCCCAGAATTTAACATATCATACACATCTACACATACTACTATATATAATCATACACATTATATATATGTATGTATAATCATACTAACATTACTAACTACTCGATACTACTCTCTCTCTCTCTCTGACTCTCTCTCTCTCTCTATACCAAAAACATATGTATCTATCTCTCAAATAACTGGTTAATAACTGGTGAATGAATTAGATAGTTATTTAGAGACTATTTCCAGTTATCTATGTGTCAACTGTGTCAATGACTATTCCATTGATGGTTATTATCTCTCTTATCAGATAACTATCAATAACTATCAATAACCATTCATTAACCAGTTATTAACCAGTTATTTAAGAGATGCATATAATAATGGTAATTAACCTTGATACCAATGTTATTCCAATGTTATTCCACTGGCTATTCCAGACGTGAAGGCCATGGAGAAGATCCACCTGCAGGAGGAGCTGCAACGCAACGCCAAGGAGAAGCTGCGCGCCGCGGCGAAACGACGAGCCGAGCGGAAGGGACGAGCAGCGGCGATGTTTTTCGAACGGCGAATGGAAAAACCATGGACAAATCCAGGGAAATCCCATGGAAAATCCCTGGAATTTCCAGAGTTTTTTGGACTTAGAATCGGTTTGAAATTGCCAGAGATGTTCATCTTGGGTGCTTTTTTTGGAGATGAAACTGAGTCTTTTAAACAGAACGGATTGAAACAGCACGGAATGTTTCTAGATTCTTTAGTGCAAAAGAACTGGTAGATATCTGCATGGCGGACTATTGATACTTGTAGCAATCCATGGATAGGGTTATATTCGGGTTGTTTCACGCACTTTCACGAACCAACTTTCCCATGTGTTGTGCATCTTGGATTTACCGTGAGGTATCTATTGTAGCATAATATGTGTTTGATGATGTCGATATATGTTGATCTGGCTTGATATACTGGAACGGATGTATGTCACATGAGCATTGAGACACATATGTATATATATATATATTCTATATATATATATATAGTGTGTGACAGTTTGGGCAATTTCTTTATCCTTTGCTGATGTCTAGCGTCCTTTGTTCCTGACTCGAGCCTCCAGCTGAGAATGAGTTATGAACGCCCCACTAGAACAGCAAAGAAAGTGCCCTTGGATGCATGCATCAGTGGCAAAGATTGCCCGCTTGTTTGTATCAATTATTTCTGGATACCCTCTGGTAAACTAACATAGCTATGGAAAATAACCAGTTTCAATGGGTAAATCCACTATAAATGGCCATTTTCAATAGCTATGTTAAATTACCAGAGGGTAGCCATTCTTGTTCATGTGAAGATGATCACCAATCCACACCAGAGATTCCGTGGATCCGAAAAAAAACCGCCTTTTTCCCAATCGCAAAGTGGAGAAATCATTGGCCCCCCAAAACGGTCCCCAAAAAAACGACCCAAAAGGATCCAGCCGGTCACGCAGCCGGACATGCATTTTTTTTGGGGAGAATTCGAATTCCTTCCCTCATGAAGTGGGACGAAGACTCCCAATCATCAATCCTCCAATGACCCAGATCACTCCTGATCCCAAGGTGATGGAGCGAATTCGCCCATGATGCACTTCACCACCTTTGTCTTGGGTCCTGACCAGGTTTGGGTGCGCAAAGCTGGGTTCTTTAACTACGTAGTTGAATGAGGATGACCGATCCACTATGTGCCGTGGTTAAAACTTGAGTCAATTGCAATGAATTGCCCATATTGGGCGATGGTCATCAGATTTGACTGGGTGAATCGGCAGCTGAGGTTCGTGGGTCCTTCATATACAAACTCATGTACCTCAGCAAGACTATATTAATATAGAAAGGATCGGTCCTCTCCCATACAAGGTGCTTGGGCTTATAGCATAACCATGTTTTTCACCTACCAATGATGCTGATACGACTAACCAAACTGAACCATCATTTCAAGGTAGGATATTTCCCAGAAGATGAGTTCTGCGACCTTCAGGTGCCATCGGGCAGTGCAGTGAACATCAGTCGAATACTGAGATTGGTTTGCGCAAGTCAGCAGTGCTTAATGCCCCTGTTGATTGCGACTTGAGGGTATGTTGTGTAACAGTGTACCATTTAAATCCTTTTATATATATATATATAATCTGGTGGAATTGGATTTTCCGCGATACATGGTATAAAAATTGGGAATCCCCCCGTCGCAACGTTGCGAAGCGCCCCACGGGAATGTCAGGGGATGGGCGACCTGAAAAAATGTGGCTGGTGGATTCAAAGGTCCAAAAGTTCCATCCTACCTGTGATGACCATGTTTTTGAATCTAATTCTAATTGACTATAGTATTTTTTCATTGAAACCACCAATCTCAGAAGGGGGAAGTCGTAACCATGGTTACTAGACGTTCCTAATTCACAGTGGGATCATCCAAGTAGATCCCGATCCGAGAAATGCCTCCGAAGCGAGGTGGTGAGAGCAACAAGGTGGAGCGGACGAGGCGGGTGGAGGTGGTGTTTTTCAGTCACCGTGGAGAGGAATGTGGCCACGGGATGCCTGATCTTGGAACTCAATCCTGTGAAGTCTCCGCTTGCGATTGATGGAGTGTCGCAAGGTAACCGTATATAGAGCCGTACTTCACCAGCCTCAAATTCGGGCAACAACAGCGAACCTTCCAAACATGTTTTTCGGTTGGGGGCATTTGGGGGCATGAGAAGGCAGACAATCTGGCGCTTATTACCCTCTGGTGAACTAACCTAGCAATGGAAAATGGCTATTTATAGTGGATTTTCCCATTAAAAATGGTGATTTTCCATTGCTATGTTAGTTCACCAGAGGGTAATAGGCAAATCGTCCAGAATTTCACATGTGAACGGATGCCTTAAGTCCTTCGATGATCTTCGATGGGATAGGCCCGGGTTCCTCATGGGATCACCGCAGGACGGACAAGTCCCACTCTGGGATGTGCAGGACGAGCGATTTCCAGTTTTCCACCATGGATTCCAATTTTCAACGAAACGAAACTCTTCCAGTACCATGCATCCTTCAGCTGAAGAAGTTTTTGATGGTGTGTTTTTTTTCCATTTCTGGAGGTTGACCACATTTCTAGAATTTCTGCCGGATCAATGATCGATACATATCGATACCAATCATCAAAGGTTGGTATGATTCCCACGCTACGCAGTGCCATCTCCTCATCTCATCTTGTTTTCCATATGCATCCATTGATACCTCTACAGCCTCTACATTTTCCAGTGATTTTGCCATTGATTAGATTTCTCCATATTTCCCAGTGATATAGGGAGGGATTCAAAGAGATTCGACCCACCACAGGCGACCGGAAAAGGTCATTTCTTTGGGAAAACCACCGGCACAGGGCAATTCTGAAAACCGCCAAGAAGCAAACAAGGGCGAATCGTGACCATGGGATTAACCGTTTAACCAACACAAATGGTGATGCAATCAACATGGGGATTTTAAGCAACACACATGGTGATTTAACCAGCAAAATTGTGAGTTAACCAACAAGAATGGTGGTATAACGAAGTATAATGTTATTGGGGATAGAGCGGGTAAATCATAAAAACCTCAATGTGATGTCAAGACTTAAATGATGGTTAGAATAGGGGGTCATACCAATTGGCCGAACCTTTCAGGTTGGTGAATTTTCATCATTTATGAAGATTATTGGGGGGGTCACCTAGATGCGGGTTTGTCCAATTTTCCCACAATATCCGTATCCCCATTCTGGTTTTATATGGTATACCGTCTCTGCAGTGGGTAGTAATCATTTGTTCGTAATATCCACTGAGCAGTTAATATGTGTATACAAATCATCAGAGCTACTATTAAGCACTATATTAATAGAACTATCACTACTATTAACTATTGGTCATGGTTGGTTATACATACTCCATTGATTATAAATAATATATTTATTACACCAATGAAAACAATGTATATATGTAGATAACTCTATCTGATGAGAAGCAACACTACTTAGCACATGTTAATATATACTAGATAACATTGATTGGTAGTATTTACACGTTAAACTAATAGTATAAACATAGTTAATATATATATATATATATGTCATTTTTTGTGTGAACATATGCGTGTGTGTATATATATATATATACGGCAAATGCCTGGGCTTTGCCCGGAACCGCAACCACGACAGGCAACGCATCATCATCATCATCATCATCACCACCATCATCATCATCACGACAATCATCATCACTATCATCACTATCATCATCTCATCATCTCATCATCATCATCATCACCATCATTATCATCATCATCACCAGCATCATCATCATCATCATCATCATCATCATCATCACCATCACCACCGTCATCACCATCATCATCACCATCACCATCATCATCATCGTCATCACCATCACCATCATCATCATCATCAGCATCATCATCACCATCATCATCATCATCATCATCAAACCCTTATCGAAGGTCTTCAATGAATGTGGAAGTTTAACGGGGGTGGGAGAATTAGACCCTCATTGAAGATCTTCAATAAATGTAGAAGTTTAACCTTATTGAATATCTGCAATGAATGTAGAAGTTTAACGGGGGTGGGAGAATTAAACCCTTATCGGAGATATTCAATGAATGTAGAAGTTTAACCGGGGTGGGACTTTAATATTCCCTACTAACTTTGTTGATCCCCAATTGAATGTAAAGTTTAACGGGGGTGGGATGTTAATATTCCCTAATACCTTTGTTGATCTTCCCAATTTAATGTAAAGTTTAACGGGGGTGTGATTTTAATATTCCCTAATACCTTTGTCGATCTTCCCAATTGAATTTAAAGTTTACCGGGGGTGGGATTTTAAAATTCCCTAATACCTTTGTTGATCTTCCCAACTGAATCTAGAGTGTAACGGGGGTGGGATTTTAATATTCCCTAATACCTTTGTTGATCTTCCCAACGGAATGCAGAGTTGCAACAAAATTTGATTGGGAAAGGGGACCCTCTACGCTGCAACGCCTGGGCAAAGCCCAGGCGTTGCGCATATATATATATATATACATATGAAATTTAGTCAATATATGTATATATATATATATTACAATTTGTCAGGTTATATATGAATGTATCATTTTAATGGTTAATCAATGCATGTATACAGTATATGTATCTATAATCATATATGTATATATATATATACATTTTAGTATAGATATTTATCATGGTTTCCAGCCCATGCTCGCTTTTTGAGGAGCACCTCTGGACACTCCACGCGGAATTCCTTGGTGTCAGGTGGCTGGGTTGTTGGGGATTACTATCCATAAGGATAACTACAAAGCAACGAGTATTAGCTGGAATAGGATGGGGGTATTTTTTATGGCTCATGTGGTGCTAAAACTTCTGAACTTGGAGAAAAATCACCAAACTTGGAGAAATATGGTGGCAATTTACGGAGATGTACGGGACATCATTGCAAACTATTGCAAAAAATGGCGCGCATTTGAGGTTTGCTGTAGAATGAGGTGCCGCTGATGTTATTCGATCCCCATCATCTCCCGCTATTAGTTTAAATGGTGATTTTGCAGTGCGCAAACTGTTGCATCACCAGAAACTATATACATTTAAAAACCATGGAAACAGAATTCAATCAATCCCAACCCCAATTTTAAACACACCCGTTTTTTTTTAGTCCCAAAGATGTGGTTCCATCCCCGTCCATCCCCTATGTCTGGGGTGTTCAATATGCGGGGAAGGGATTGAGATTTTTTTAGTCGGTGAGTCATAAACCTGGATTAATTTCCATTCATATCCCATGATATTTTCAGCATTCGGTGAGTCATAAACCATGATATTTCCATTCATATCCCATGATATTTTCAGCATTCGGTGAGTCATAAACCATGATATTTCCATTCATATCCCATGATATTTTCAGCATTCGGTGAGTCATAAACCATGATATTTCCATTCATATCCCATGATATTTCCAGCATTTTGTGAATCATAAACCATGATATTTCCATTCATATCCCATGATATTTCCAGCATTTGGTGAGTCATAAACCATGATATTTCCATTCATACCCCATGATATTTCCAGCATTTGGTGAGTCATAAACCATGATATTTCTTTTCATTTTTTATGATATTTTCAGCATTTGGTGAGTCATAAACCATGATATTTCCATTCATATCCCATGATATTTCCAGCATTTGGTGAGTCATAAACCATGATATTTCCATTCATACCCCATGATATTTCCAGCATTTGGTGAGTCATAAACCATGATATTTCTTTTCATTTTTTATGATATTTTCAGCATTTGGTGAGTCATAAACCATGATATTTCCATTCATATCCCATGATATTTTCAGCATTCGGTGAGTCATAAACCATGATATTTCCATTCATATCCCATGATATTTTTAGCATTTGGTGAGTCATAAACCATGATATTTCCATTCATATCCCATGATATTTCCAGCATTTTGTGAATCATAAACCATGATATTTCTTTTCATTTTTTATGATATTTTCAGCATTTGGTGAGTCATAAACCATGATATTTCCATTCATATCCCATGATATTTTTAGCATTTGGTGAGTCATAAACCATGATATTTCCATTCATATCCCATGATATTTCCAGCATTTTGTGAGTCATAAACCATGGTATTTCCATTCATATCCCATGATATTTTCAGCATTTGGTGAGTCATAAACCATGATATTTCCATTCATATCTCATGATATTTCCAGCATTTGGTGAGTCATAAACCATGATATTTCCATTCATATCCCATGATATTTCCAGCATTTGGTGAGTCATAAACCATGATATTTCCATTCATATCCCGTGATATTTCCAGCATTTTGTGAGTCATAAACCATGATATTTCCATTCATATCCCATGATATTTCCAGCATTTGGTGAGTCATAAACCATGGTATTTCCATTCATATCCCATGATATTTTCAGCATTTGGTGAGTCATAAACCATGATATTTCCATTCATATCCCATGATATTTTCAGCATTTGGTGAGTCATAAACCATGATATGTCCATTCATATCCCATGATATTTTCAGCATTTGGTGAGTCATAAACCATGATATTTCCATTCATATCCCATGATATTTTCAGCATTTTGTGAGTCATAAACCACGATTTTCAGCATTTGGTGAGTCATAAACCATGATATTTCCATTCATATCCCATGATATTTTCAGCATTTTGTGAGTCATAAACCACGATATGTACAGCATTTTGTGAGTCATAAACCATGATATTTCCATTCATATCCAATTCAATCAGCATTTTGGATGATTAAACCATGTTAAACCATGTTAAACCAACTATTCATCAACGCATAGTAGTCATCCCATCATCCGCGTTTGATTCCTGCCTCGTGGCAGGCCACGCAGGCCCCGCAGGCCCTGCAGGCCACATGCCACCAGAGCTCGCGGGCTCCCAATCGCCACTGGGATTTAGCCATGGAAAAAGGCCGGTTTCACCATCGAAAATGGATGGATTTTTGCTGGAATTTTTCATGGAATAAATCTGGTTTAACTATATGGAGATTCATCAACAATATGATAGTTGGGTTTGTCTAACCATGATATACCATGATATATATATATATGGCTATGGATCAATACCTATTAATACCATTTTTATCCAGCTATTTTGGGGTTCACTACCCACCTCATCTTGGTATTTTGGTACTAATTTTCATTTTTAGTTGGGTTTGTCTAACCATGATATACCATGATATATATATATATGGCTGTATGGGTATGGATCAATACCTATAAGTAGCATTTTTAATGGGATATATGGGATGAACATCCATAAATCCCAGCTATTTTGGGGTTCACTAGGTACCAGGGTTTTGACTCATAGCCAGGTATGAAAGCAAACAGTAGTGGTTACCCGGCCTGGTAAACGTTAACGTTTAAAGCTATTGAAAATGGCCATTTATATCCATTTATAGTGGATTTACCAATTTTTCAATGTGATTTTCCATAGTCATGTTAGTTTACCAGTGGTTGATAGCCAAACATAATCAATGGTCAATCATGGGTTAACAATGGTTGTTAATGTCAATCTCATGGTCAATACTGGTTAGTCATGGTTCATCATGGGGTGACGCCCTAGCAAAAGTAATGGAGCAATCATAGGGATATCATGGAGATACATTGCGGCCGTCAGGATGTTATGGGGAAACATGATGACCATCCCGTCCCCTCAAAATCCACGCGGCATAGAGCAGTATAAATACGTCAAGAGTTGGGATTATGGAGGTAAACATGAGGTAAACATATCACAATGGGGAAGTCTTGAATTTTCTCCGGTTTTTGTAGATGAGTGTTTTGAAGACTTGCCTGAAACTTGTCTCAAAGGCCAGTGAGCAACTGGTCGATTTTCATTGGATTCTATTGTCAAAGTTAAAAGCAGGGGTAACGTGTCACCCCGCCATTGTTGGGCTCTATTCTCATTACAGGTCAGTATATCAGTATGTCTTAAAACTTTTTAGAGTTCAATTCCACAAACACTCCAGTTCATTCGAGGAGAATCTATATTTCTTTACACAAATGATGTACGGATGTACGGCCCCACATGACATGACCGGAACATCCCATGTGGTGCGTTGTACGGCCACTGGAAATCATCCCAGAAACGACCACGAGGAATAGCCAAGTGCTCTCTCGGTCTCGCCGGCATTCTTTTGGTCCCTGCTGCCAGCGGATTGGCCATGTCATTTTGAGATACCTGATTTGGATGATTTGCACCACTCACATAGACTGGATGTACATATGCCCCATACGCAGACACGCACATACGCACACCATAACTTTACATCACATTACATCACGTTGTATGACACTGCATGACATTACAGTACATTACATTAGCTTTCCTTATTACATATTACAATATATTACATGTCATTAAATACACATACATGCACATACCTACTCATACCTACACACACAGACACATACAGATACAGGAACACACTGACACATACCCCTTGAAGATGGTTT